ACGTAGGTATCCATATAATATAAAAAATGATATGGGCACATCTTTTTAAAGTTGTACATAATTCTAAAAACTTTAAACAAATAAATTTATTTACTTTAAACAAATCACAGAGCATCATAAACGTTGTATTCCGTTCACAGAGCACCGTATTCATTGAAATAGTTTTTTAATTATATTAATATCATAATCAACCCTAATTTTATATTAAACATTTACTCTAGTTAATACAACATTCTATGTGATTTGGGACGAAAATAAAATATCGAATTGGCAACACTGATGTCGTGTTGTGAGTCGTGACAATTTTCCCATTTTAATAAATTTAAAACCTTTTCACGACTTTCTACGTAATATTTAATATAATAAAAATATATGTAATACTGAAAATTACCAAAACAAGATAAATAATGCTGCTAATGCTGATATTTTAAAGATTGTAACCAAAAGAAACACCTTCTAAATTGTTTCTCATAATGTAAAAACCGTTTCAATTCCACGCTGTCATTTCGGCAAAATAGCGATTACGTGACGTTGCAACGAGGTTACTAAATCGACATTCGATAGAAATAATTTTTATCGATATGTAAAGTTGCGTTTACGTTGCAATGCTAGTTGACAGCGTCAAATGGCGTCTATATGATCGCATTATTGACAGATGACGTCATTTTCACTACGTTACATACGAAAATCGTTGCGAACGAAGTTACATAATTAGCCCACCGATCCCCTATTTCATGAATATGTAAAATCTTATTCGAAAATATTTAAAAGGGTTTGTCAGACAACTAAGTATCTCTATTTGTGTAAAATAATAACTAAATCTAAAGATAATATAAAAGCCACTTGGAAAGTAATAAATAGCGACAATGGAAAAGTTAATGTTCAAAATAGCAAAATATCGAATCTTATTTTACTAATGTTCCATTAATTACGACACAGGCTCTAAAATCTTCCCCGTCTGCTGCTGAAACTTTACTAACAGACAATATTAGCAAGTCATCAACTGTATTTAATTTTAGACACACAACATCAGTAGAAATAATGAAAATATTTAAACAGCTAAATAATAAAAAAACAGAGGATCTATGGGGCATATCTGTTAAAATACTGGATAGTATAATGGAAATTATTGCGCCGTCTCTTGCTTTTATTTTTAATAAATGTATAGATGATGGTAAATTTCCTAATAGAATGGAATAGAAAATCATTTATTCAAATAAACTTAATTTAAGCAGTTTTGAATAGTCAACATTTTTTTTAAATCTACCGCTTATTCGGAAAGCTGTCTCATCACACAGAAGAATAAGCAAGAAACTTGTGTGTTGCTCTTTTAAACAATCCTTGTAAGTTCACATTTTACAAGTCGAAACGTGTGAATACAAACTACCAACCAGCACTAATTTATTTAGGCTCAAATATAAAAACACAATAACATTAAATCAGTCGTAGTGATAAGAGCAGACCAGTCCCTACAAGCAGCACTCGTTCACGAGTATGACGGATGAGCCAGCCATCACTGCGCTCGACCATATTTTAGGGAGCCCAATGACCCGGCCCACCGCGCCGCCAATATAATGAAAATTAGTAAAATCATACCACTTTTTAAATTTGGAGACAGGACTGACCCAATAAATTATAGACCTATATCCATACTCCCAGCGCTCAGTAAAATTTTTGAAAAAATAATCCTTATGCAACTTGTCAGTTATTTTATTTAAATAATTTAATTCACAATAGTCTCATTCGGTTTTTCCAATAGTCGTTCAACTACAAACCCAGGTGCAGAGTTGCTCAGCCACGTATTTGCTGCATGGGAAAATAAAATGGATGCGATAGGTGTTTTTTGTGACCTTTCTAAGGCTTTTGATTGCGTTGATCATAACACATTATTGAAAAAACTTGCTTTTTATGGCGTCAAAGACAACGCTTTAAATTTAATAAAATCTTATTTATCTGATAGAATACAGAAAGTAAAAGTTGGCATCGCTACGTCTGACGGGTCACTTGTGCAAATGGGTGTACCTCAAGGATCTATTTTTGTCCATTTTTATTCCTAGTATACATAAATGATCTCCCATATGCCATGCAGGATAGATGCGGGATAGTGTTATTTGCAGATGTTACTTCATTGATTTTTAAAGTTAATAGAATGACTAATAATTATGACGATGTAAATAGTGCTTTGCGGCGTCTCTTGCACTGGTTTACAACTAACAATCTTATCTTAAACGCTAAGAAAACAAAATGTGTTAATTTTCTCTGTCTAAAAGTTTTAATACTAATTGCAACATAAAATTAGATGACGAATCTCTCGAATTTATACAATCTACTGTCTTTCTAGGAATCACATTAGATAATAAAACACAATGGAGTGCACAAATTCAAAGTCTTGCAGCGAAACTGAGTTCCGCAGCTTTTGCCGTGCGTAAGGTTAGACAGTACACTGATATTGATACTGCTAGATTGGTCTATTTTAGTTATTTTCATAGTTTACTCTCTTATGGAATATTATTATGGGGAAAAGCGGCAGATATTAAAAATATATTCATATTACAAAAACGTGCCATTCGAGCGATCTACTGTATGAAGAGTCGTGACTCATTAAGAGAGAAATTCAAAGAGGTAAATATTGTCACCGTTGCTTCTCAATTTATATATTCAAATATCCTATATGTTCATAAAAATCGTGACTTATTTCCAAAAAACAGCAATGTTCATAATATTGTTTAGAAAAAGTCAATAGGTCTTTTATGGGAATAGGTATAAAAATGTACAATAAGATACCAAAGGATATATTGGAATTACCCTTAAATAAATTCAAAACATCTGTTAAATCATATAGCAAGGCCTATTACTCACTAAACGATTACTTGAATGACGAGCGTGCATGGCAATAGTTTTCATGTTCGGGATTTTCATTTAATGTTAGACATAGACACCTATATAAATACCTATGCATTGTAAATAAACTGGATTTAAAAAAAAAAGTAATTCAATTGAGTTTCTTGCCAGTTCTTCTCAATTGGATCTATATACCGAGCTGAATTTTGAATTTGAATTGGATTTGATCGTCTTGAAATATTTAATGCAAAATAAAAATTAAACTGTATCGGAAAATCTAATTTTTTGTTGCCTGGCGATATCCAACGCTTTACATTTATATATGAAAAAAATACAATAGTAATAGAACAAAACTGGTCCAGCATGTAAATAACATTTAATGCTTTTATCTTACCACATTTATACTAAATGAACACACCTTCAACTAAATGTTAATGTAAATGTACTATAACTCGATTAATATGCTACATACATACCTAATTAGGTACATATAAAACCCATTTCCACGCTGCGTTTATTTCAACAAAATTAAATATCTATAAGTACATACTTATTTAACATACACGTATCTTAATGTTAGTATCGCAAACTCGTGTTGCGAGAACAAATCCTAATTTACAGTAGGTACCTCAAGTATACCGATATAATGGAACAAAGTGTTTTCGTATTCGCACCAAGAGACATACCTACTTTTTACGTTGATTTGACCTTGTAAATCATTTGAAGTTATGTTGAGAGCATTCATCATTAATAGCACCATCTAGTCCCAGGCTAAGAGCTTGTGTTACGTGTACTTACTAGACAACTGATATTAAATACATAAATACATTTTTTCAGTAAATATACATAATAAATACTCAGACCAATACAAACAATTATACTCGTGAAAACACTTTTGTACCGTGTAATATTCAATCCCGCGACCATCGGAAGTAAAGCAGAGTGCTACACCACTAGACTACCCAGGCTGCCAACATCATTGTACCTAGGTACTTTTTAGGTTTTGAAGTACTCATATCAGCACTTTAGGAATTGTGTTAAATAAGTAGTATGTGGGCGAAATGAAAACATACCATAAATATTATTCAAATTAATTCATTATGAGCATTCAGAGTTCAAAAGAAATTTTGAATTCACTCAGTAATTGACGTAAAAGGAAAACATTGAGAAAATATAATTTTTAATTTTTACTGCTGCCCGAGGCTATGTCACGATTTAACGGAAAATATACCTATTTTACTATATAGCTTCCTGTCTTCAAATGATGTCACTATATTAGAAGAAAACAAGTCTAAAATTAATAAGATTGATCTTAAAGGGTAGCCCAGCTAAGCATCCCTAGTGCGCGGGAAAGCGTAAAAATCATTTAGGCCTCGATAAGTGGCCGAAATTGACGCTACTCATAGGTATCTGTTCTATTTATAGTTTTATAGTGCATTTTATATTATAAATTGATGCCTGACTCGATTTCTCATGGGTATGTCATATAGAAAAAATGAGACGCAATCTCCCCTTGCAATACAAACATCTATCACTACTGTCATTTTTTAAAATTGCGATTCCTTACGCCAAATTTTTCACTTCTTTCACTTTTACGTACGATCTTTCAAACATTTCCTTTCATCTTTCAATTATTCAAACCATGTCCTAGTAAATATAGAATGAAAAATAAAATTAGTCAAATGGTTAAAGACTTTGTAAAGCAACAAATATAGGGGAACTAGTAGTTTTTTACCACACATGTTAGAAATAGACACACGAACAGACACATTGATGTAAGAAGTTTTACTTTTTGCCACTCAATGTTTATTTCTATGTAATGAAGCTTTGATGGCCCCTTCAACCGTAAAAGGGGAGGTATACAGTGTATAGTGTATAGTACTGTACTACTTTTTTTAATCTGCAGTGGAGCTAAGGTACGGTCTTTTTTTTCTATTTAGGTTTTATTCCAATAGATCAAACTGTGCCCACATGCTTATGTACATTTTGCCCCAGTTTGATGAATGTAGAAAGGTCTGTTTTAATCGGAATTTCATTCCTTATTCATTTGTTCATCGTATTTGTCATTCCATTATCTCTTCCTATATATAGTGATAAAATATTAGTATATAATATAATTTCTAAATATATATAGAACATAATGTAAATAATAGACAATGTAGAGTTATTTTTTATTAGCTACTATTAGAGTCCATGGCTATTCGAAGACAATTTTATACTAAAACTAGAATAATTATGTACAAATAGATGATTTTCATATTAGTTACTTTCACTTAAATCTGGTTCAATAAAATGTATAAAATTTTATTAAATTAATAAGCTTAAAATACTTCAAAAAACATTTTCAATATAAATAATTGAGATGACTTAGAACGAGATAAAAAAACGAGATACATATTTCGACAATACAGCTTCAATCAATATTCCATAAAGGTCGGCAACAAAGTGTTGCCTTATAAAAAAAAATAATAATATTCATTTTACATGATTTCAAGAAAGTCGATAAGACATATGTTACTGCGTCCATTAAAGTTTAATACAAAGGATTGCACTGACGAGGGACTGTCCTAGACGAACCGTCGAAATATTTGGAACACAAAGCATATACGAGTATACAATTTACAAGAGTCCGCGTGATATACTAGGATTTTTGACTTCGATGGGCAAAAGTCGCTCGTCTGAGCTTCTGGCAAGCAATATATTATATTTAATCACAAAATAGATAATCTCGCTCACTATTGTCGTACATAATTACAATAATAATAAATTTATTGTGTATAATAATATATTAATTATCATTATAAAAAAATGTTAAAAAACATACAATAAAAAATGCAATGTTTTGCATATAAAATGTGTCAATGATTTTGGAGAATAATAGACATTACAAACAAATTATTATTAAATACGATAAAACATTAACTTAGAGAATTATTAATGATGGCACTATTTTTGTTTATATTATTGTTATATAAGGCACCGAGTAAAGTAGGAAGCCATATTAAACCTATTTCTATATAAATTTCTATTCTAATTCGTGCACAAAACACTAGTTGTTGGCAGTGAACACTCACACATATAAACGTGTATTAAATTCAACCTACCATGTCATAAAAAAAAATTAAGCGCATTGAGCACTTTATTTTGTGAGTACTGCAGTCGAATAGAGTCGATTTGAGTTGCTTAATAGACCGAGACAGATATATGCAGTGCCACTGCTATACTAATCTCGCCTTGGCGAAGATTTCATAAGTATGTGCTTAACAAGCATTTTTAACATAAAATATTACCTAATTAAACATTAATTTATAAAAATGAATTAAATCATCATGACAGCAAATATATTCAATTGTAAAATAATCATAGTAAAATCAGTGCACAAGTGGTGGATACATAACGTAACATAGACACTTATTAATATATTGGAATTAAGAGCCTCTACCTTTTTGAAGTGTATAATAAACTAACCTCCTTATTCCCGAAAAAAAGATATAATACATTTTAACTACATAACTGTTTTGTTCTCTTTTTTCTCAAAAGAGACCAACCACTATTATAGAAACAACGTGTGTAGAGGTTACAGTCATTATGCATAAAAAGATAGGTGTCCACTTCATTAGACACAGAGAAACATTATCAAATTAATTTTACTAACAAAGCAGAGGTGTAACAGTTAAATATAATTTATTAGAAATTATAATAGTAGGTTCATGTTATTAAGTTAACACATTTGAACATGACTTCCTAGACGCCAAACATCTATCCAAGCCACACAAAACAAATAAGTACATACAACATTCACACACATAAGTACAAAAAGCGTACAATATATTATAACTATATAATATCGTTGAGATTAACAGGCCCATTTTGCATTATAATATTACGATGCAAATTTTAATAAACATATAGACACAGCAACTGGTTACAGTTAAAAAATTACAATAATAATTTTATAGTTTATTGGTTTAGTTGAACGATAGAATATTCTTATTAATTACATTGTCTTACTGAAAATATTTTCCTTGGATGCTATCTGTTTTCGTGCATCTTTTATATAAATATGAAAGGCACAGGTTAAGGCAACTTTATAAATATATCATTGGAAAAGCATCTCCACCTTAATTGCATGTTTCTCCGATGTTACTTTTCATACTTGACTCACAATACATACATGAATCTACGTCCTAAACTAACATCTTTGACCCTACACTTGTGACAGTAATACTTCTTACATCATCATTATTTCCCAGCATATGTAGGATTTTTAAACGTCGATGTCGCTTGCTTGTAAATGGGATTCTCGCCCTGTGAATAAACAAATTAGAACATAATAGCATTTATTACAACACAAGCATCTTCACTTACATCTTAAATCTGTTTTGTTTTCCAAACGATACTGTATAAAACATTCGTTTTATATATTCTTAATGTGTATTTTAAATTATTCAAATATATTTAAATTATTCGAACAAAGGAAATTCAATGTATTTAATGATATAGATAATTATTATATTAAAAACTTACCGTGTCCCACTTAGCCATCATACGTTCCTTCTCGAATCGCGCAAACTCTCTGCGGTCGTGTATTGTGGTCACCATCTTCCACAACATAAGTAACGCCAACCCCACTAGCACTATGGCCGCAATCACGCCCAATACTATGCCTAAAATGAATACCTACACAAACATACATAAAACATATAGTTATATGAATCATAAACAATTTACTATAGATCAACTAATCTACTAGGTCACATTGTTTTTTTTTTTGTTAAATCGCCTTTTCCGATGAAGAAGTCCAGTGTTATTTAATATGGTAGTTAATAATAATGACAGACACCTTACGAGAGGCTTCATCTCGCGTACTCTTAGATTGTGGAATGATTGAATGAATGGGGTTTTTCAAGAAGGTATATATACCCTTCTTGAAAAACCCCATTCAAGGTTACTCAAGGGTCGGCAACACGCGTGTGACACCCCTGCTGTTTCAGACGCCCGTAATCTACGGTAACAGTTTACCATTCGATAAAAAATCCTAATAGTCAGTCGTCTTCGTTCGACACCGCCCACTATTTAAGATCCGCTACAGTACGTAATATTTAACTCCAATTCGCTGACGCTTCATTAACTAAGCTAAGGGGCTCTACAGCTAAATATGTATTTACAGAAAATAAAATCCTACCTTTTTGGGGCAATCTCGTTCCTTCTGTGCTCTGATATGCACCTCGTGTGACTCGGGGTATGAATACACGTACAAGTAGAGACAGTCTTCATCATCGTAAAAACTACATAAGTGTTCGCTTTGATTTTCGTTAGCTGTAAAAATAAATCATTACATGTAACGACACAGCATAGATGAAAGCAGGTATAAGTGATATTGACGTGGGTTTTTTAAGTCAACAAATTAGCTACAAACGCTGTAGCAATTGGTACAACAAGATATACATTTTATAAAATTGATCAAGCGAGTCTAAAGTCGGTTATTTCAGTATCAGACAATTCAGCGGAACTAGCGCACAAAACATCGTTTGTAAAATATACACGTATACTTAATCAACACATTTTTTAAAATAGCGCTATTTCCAAAACATGTAAAATTCTTGCTATTAAAACTTGGCTATTTTTTTAATGTAAACATGTACCTCTGTACCCTAACATATATTAATGTTGATTTGACACTAACCTACGAGTTTTCCCTCCTCCACGATGGGGAAGAGTGAGCAGTTGCCGCACTGTTCGTCATAGGGCTTGTCGGCTTGGAACAACGGGCCGCGTCTGTGCACCTCGCAGAGTACACACTCCTTGAACTCGCCGCAGCGACCCGGACAAGTCTGCACATCATCCATTTACCATACTTAATTAATTTTATAATTTTTCCCTTGTCCTTGTCACAGCTGTGTGTTATTTTTTATTGATGACAATGGAATGATGCTCCCGCCTGCGTAAAGGTTTACACTAGTGGAGCATGATAAAATGTACATGACGTCAGGTCAGTTAGCCCATCATAAATTCAACAGAAATTTATCACAACGATTTCCAGGGGAAGCCAAATAGAGGTCAATGTACCATTACATACATTGCTAACAATGTCTTTCCCCCACTGTGTAACTGATGTCTATATGCATGAACAGTACCATAAACATCACCTCATCATGTGACATTCATTGTAACGCTTTTAAGTTTCCATTCTGAAGGATTAAGATATCATGTTTCGTACAAAATCTACACCGGGAAATATGACTATTATAATAGAATTAAAAATTGTGTACTGCAGATACGTAATTGTAATTATTGAGACCTGTCATTTAATTTCATATTAGTATTGTTCTAATAATAAATACATATATTACTTTATTCAAATTTATATATATATATATATATATATATATATATATATATATATCTTAAATTGCGACTTCAAGTATTATATTATTAATAATGTTTCTTACCGGACATTTCTCGCAATATTTTCCAGAATAGTGGCGATTGTCGTTAACATTGCAAACACACTGTCCACATACACATTTTCCATTACCGCTGCAAATCTCGCCGTTTTCTAAAACAAAAGAAGGCTTTGTTAAACCTATATTTAATAACTTTTAACCTATGAATCTATACTTCTTCAATACAGGACATTGTCGACTATTTGCGGACCAGGAGTAACCTGACATTGAGGATGACGCAGAGTCGAATCACAAACCGAGTTTCAAGGCGTTTGTAGCCCGGGTCCCAACTAACATGCTGCCCACCTTCATGAAGGAAGGACTACTGACCCAAGGGGGTGGTCTTTCTGCGCTACCGTGGCAGATTGCCGTCGTCAGTGCCGTGACCATATACATAGACATAGATTTATATTTATTTCATTATGTATGTTAATCTAAGACATATTTATAATATGAGCCATTAATAAATAAATAAATAAAATTACTACTGTTCAAATCTAGTTCAAAGGAATTCTTAAGAAATTTATATTTTTTATATATAACTTTAAGTAGTAAAACAATAAGAGAGTTTGATATTTATTGTTATATAATTTACCTGGCGAAATGCAGGGCTTCTGGTCGAGCAAGCACTGACAGGCAGGTCCCGTGTACTCCGGTCGACAATTGCAGCGGCCGCACACGCACTCTCCTTGGCCCGAGCACAGTTTCTCGTGGTTCATATCGCAGGTAAAGTTGTCGCACTCACAGAACGGACCAGATATCACCTGTGATATACATCCGCATTATTACTACTTTTCTAAATGTTAATGTTGTAACTATCAAGATAATAATAATAATATCCTTGGACAATTATCACAGCGCCATATAGTCCCAAGTTATGTAGAGTCTGTGTTATGAGTACTACAAAACTAATATTAATACATGGATATTTTTTTGTAAATACATAGATAATATATACAGAAAACAGTCAGACCGATATACAAACAACCATACTCATAAATATAAATGTTTGTACCGTGCGAAGAATCTAATCCTCGACCATCTGAAGTAGAGCAATGTGCTAAACCGCTACAGACATTGATAATTAATAATCTTAAATGTGTTTACGGAAAATAAAAAATAAAGTTTTTAAATTGATTAAGGCGCGTAAGAGTGATCACAAGAAATAGTAAAGTGCAATCACTCACATCAATTGACAGTGTAGAAGTTTTATTTCTATAGACCAACCTTGTTTGGATCATCCATCTTCTCACACTCGCAGACGCCGCAGATACAGGTTCCACGGCTCGAGCAAAGCGGGCCAGTGGAGGCGTTGGTGGGCCGACAGCCGCGCTCTTGTTCGAGGGAGACGCCGCCGTGTGCGGAACACTCGCAGCCCTTGCCGAAGCGGCCCGGCTCGCAGACACACACGCCGCACGCAGAGATTCCATGCCCGCTGCACACTAACGGACTGTCGTTGTACGCCTGTCGTCATAGAAATTAGTACATATTATAGATAGATAAAACTTTTATTTGCGTTACAGAAGCACACACACACAAGGTACAGTATTATAAGAAAAAAAGACACAACTACATTAGTCAGTTGACAAAATTCAATATAGGTATCATTTTTGTTAATGAAATTTGAGAGGCAAACACGAATACGGCCTACATGATTTTATACTGCATGTATTTTCTATGCATATTCAAGGATTTTGAAAACAACATTTTTATTTACTTCGGTTTATATATTCTTGTGAGATATAGATTTCTAGTAACAGAATTATAAAATTTTGGACTAATATTTCTATGATTCCCCTGTAAACATACAACCCCGTACAACAGGCATTACAAAGTATATTGTAATATTTTATAAATGACAGTATTTCTTTAAGATAGTTTAATATTTTATAATATACAAAAATAAAATTATACCATTCTCTTTTTTACATTTTTTACTTTTTTATTAATCATGTCACAATTCAATCCCGCAGTCACCGTCAGCTAATTAGGTAAGTTATAGCATTTGGGCTGTCAGACAGAGAAGGTGAGATCCACTCAGACAGCGAAAAAATATAATATGGCTAATGCTACAGTTCAAAACAAAGTCCAACAACCTTTTGTTATCCGAATTTACGCTGGCAAAAAATTATGAATGCAATAATGAATTAACTTACAAAGTGATTCTTATGTTCGCAGGGACAATCGCAGACCATTTCTACTTCTACATTCAACATTTCGGATACTCCGACTGGGTAGATGTTGAACATCTGTTTCCATTTGCTAGGATCCTTGGGACATTCCTTCAGTGTTATTTCAGCGGTGAACTTAACGACATCTCCTACCTGTTTATATGAAATAATGTTAAGAAATATACATAACATTTTGACTCAAAATTACATATTATTTAGCAGTTACATTGTATTTACACAACTCCTAAACATTTTACAGTTGTATATTATATGAAAACAGAAAAAGCTATATCCATGCTTTGTAACTATAACTGCATTATGCATCTGATTATACCAGGTACATATAGGTCACTTTTTAAAAGTGCTTGTATTAGGTGTAATGAACATATAACTATTTATTTTATATTCTCATCTATAAACCATACATCAATTAGTACTAATATATTTATTAAATGTTAGTAATTACCCCAGTTTGGCCTAGTAACTGTAAGCCATGAAATATGAAAAAATAAGAGTTTAATACACATTAATCAAAGGCATATAAATCTACAGGTCTTTTTAATTTGCAATGACAGTAAAGAGCAAAAGGAAAGAATAATTATAATTAACAAATAAAATTATGCCCTGACATTAGCAGAGTATTTGCACTATAGAAAGCGCAATCCCATTATTAATAAAACTATTGTTTGATTACAATTGAAATGTTTCCACGCATTAAGGGATTAAACCTGTAGTAAAGGAATATTTACAGAATATCATTGCAGACTATTAAATTAAAACTAATTAAAAGTGTTTGTTTTTTGTCGGTGTAATCTTACCTTAAGGCCATCGCATTTGTTTGTTTGCACGACCTCCTTGCCTCCCAGACACGATGAATAATAGTTTATTTGCAGGGCATCACTTGCAGTATCCTTCATCTCCACAGTTGACGTAATTTTCTACAATGTGCCAAAGTATATTGTATTATTATTGTATGCTTTGTATAGTTCAGTGAATAAGATGAATAACTGATCAGTGTCTGTACAAGGAAAATATATAAAACTATTATCAGAGATACTTCATCAGTGTAACAGAACCTAAAACAATTATTGTCTATATCGAATCTATATAGAATTATTCTCTAAAAAGTGTGAGCTAATCTCAATAAAACTGGCGAAATACATACAGTAAAACAGTAGAACACTTCTGGAGACTTATCTATTACACACAATGACTAATATTTCAAAAAGAAAGTATTTTGGTAAGAGAAAAGTCAACCGGAAACAACACTTACAGGGAGAAATTATTTCACCGCTTAATGGGTACATTACTTTACAGTGACTTAGACTCTATATTATATTAATATATACAAATCTACGGTTGGTCACTATCATTATGATATTAAGATAAATAGTAGATATCAATATACTCACCAGATAATTACTATATAAAACCGTTAAAAATTTCAGCCGTAGTTCCTCATAGAAAACTGACATTTCGTTTTGGGTTTTTTTATTTTATTAAAAAAATATGTGAATCATATTTGATTACTGTTAGATAGTCTATTATGAATGTATGTTACTATCAGAGTAGATAGTATCATAATCACATGCATTCTACTATATATACAGTAGACTTTTTCAACAGAAAACACAATTAGAGAACAATATACTAACATTATACTGTTCACGAACTAATTCGACGACATTCCCCGAGTCGTTGCTGAGTACACCACTGCTGGACCCCTCAATATGTTTGCTTAATTGTTCGTACACGCTGATCTGCTCAGCTGTCACCGCAAATATGACGTTGATCGCATGCTCCTTCACCTGGCGCCACAGAATGAACATATACTTATAATAATAACCCTGGAAAATTCACAATCATCTAATCCCAACCTAAGCAGAATTTGTGTTATAGACAACTGATACAAATACTTAAATATTTTTTAATCGAACTCGGGACCATCAGAAGTAAAGCAATGTGCTAAACCGTGTGTACAAATAATTACAAGTTGTGAACCAAAGATCCTATTCACTATAAGTGTTAATAGTAAATAATAAAATACCTTTAGATTGATCTGTGAAATGCTAGGATAGTCCTGGAGAGTCGAGTGCGTGTATGAGTTGTCTTCCATATGACATTCGCCGTCGTTGGGTTGCACTATACCACCGAGCTAAATCAAATAAAAATATATTAACAATTATAATATAACTATATTTTACAACATTTAATCAAAATTTTCTTGCGCTTTCTTCATGTGAGTATATTTTTCAAATGAGCGTATTCTTAGAATAAAAGTATTCAAAAGTGCTTATATTAAGTTTATTTGAATATGATTGTGATTTGATTGATTAATAATAAACGCGTAAAATAGTTGTCACGGTGATTACATATTGCTGGACAATACCTTATATAATTTTTTTTATTATAAAACTCCATACAATCTAACTTGTAGTATTTCAAAATCAATAGATAATGATTAAACAATGAAGTGAACACATGCGATTGATGTAGACTTACAAGCTGATATGTTAAACTCAGTAGTTGTAAGTATAAGAAATATAAAACCAAACGTGAGAAACATATCATAAAACTTCTAGACTCCATTAAATAGGGATTTAAAATATATATTACACTTATAATTATGATTGTAACTGCTGAAGAAGTGAAGAGAATCAATAAGAAGAACAAGCGCACCTTGCCGTCACCAGCGTAATGGAAGCCAGCGTCGGTTGAGAATACAAGCAGACGACGAGCTTGGTCTCGCCAGCCGATCTCGTTTTTGCATACGACAGCCTGCATAATGGCATCGAAGCCACCTTCCGGGGCATCTAAGTTACCGGATACGTCAGCATTCGCTACCGCTTGCTAAAAATAAATTTATATTAAAATAATAATCAAATTACACATTATATAAACGAACCATTTGCTGTGATTTTATTATTTATAAACTCCCAATATTTCGACGCTGTCATGCGTCGTCATTCGAACCGTGATCAGTGACTATTGTATTTCAAAATATAGGGCACTCATAATATTATTGCGGTGTATATATAACATAGGTAATTGTATACAGCCGTGAAACAAGTTTAAAGTAGTATTTTCAAAATAGTATAATATAACAAAATTCTAATGCATTGTATCTTAAAACGTTTCCCACATACGCCAAGGCAGCAGTAGAAAAATATCACCGGATGGCAACATTTTTATAACAAATATTAACTTAAATCAAATTAAGTAGACTTATTAATTACAGAGTTACTATAATTCTTGCATGTAGTCTGCATTAGAGGTAAGTCACGACAAACAATATAAAAAATGAGTATTTAAAGGGAAAGTTTTAAAATCTATAATTGTTTCGTAAAGTAGTTTCCGTCTATTTTAAAACTCCACTATTTGAAAATAACTTCAGTTTGTATTGAACTCATGCTCTACATATATTTGTTTGATAATCTGGTGCGATATACACAATGATACATTTTATTACTTATAATATTTTATCCATTAGTCTATACATTTAGGTACTACCTACATAGTACACGTACATAAAAACTTTATAATTCTGGCGTTGATCTTTTAGAGAGGTGATATCTAAATCACTGTTCGACTTCATTATCAGTCGTAAAGCTGTCTCTTATCACAAATATAAGAGACTGCGGTGTTCCTCGGCTTTGCAAGAGTATTTAACAAAAAAAATGTAATTATAGATTTTAACACACACCCACGAATATTTATGTCCTCCATAAAACTATAGTACATTACTTTTCTCTATTGTTAATAATTTCCGATATATTATTTGCGATATAAAGACATGTTCGGTGTGAAAAGATAATATGTACTGAACATAACTGAACATACAGTATCGAAGTTTTCATATCATTCACCAATATTTTTTAAAATATTCTATGGCCTATGTGCATCAGTGATAATGTAAGATTCTAATGGTAAACGAAAATTTTCAAATCTGTCCAGTAGTTTCTCTTTATATTATTTGAGAGAAAAGAAAGAAAATTGTTTATTTGGTACATAGCATACTGAAAATAATTATTAAATATTAATTTACATTTTATCGGTGTATATTAATTTTATAGTACCAAATAGGTCTCCGGGACGGGATGCCACGACGCTAGTATTCTGCGGATACCTTCATATATAATAGATATAATAAAATAATAATAATAACACACATACATACATAGATCTAGGCTACGATAACACAGAGTAAACATTTGTATTTGTAAAGATATATAAACAATAAATATATATTAAGTAAGTAATATTTTCGATATATTTTGTCTATATAACTATATGGATCACATAAAGAAGTAAATTATATGTGTAATAATTTGATTATGATTAAGAAGTAAACCTATTGGTAATATATATAAAATATTGTATTTTTAGTACACAATATTTGCATTTTCCTGCTTTGTCAATTAATTTATGCCATTAGTACAATTCCAAATGTATATGACAAGCACAATAATATTATAATGACAAATATTAAAGTACAAAAGAACTTGCAAAATAATAAATATAAGTAGGTATATAAAATATATATCCGTTTATCATATATATTCTAGGGACATACCAAATATAGAAGTAATTAGCAGTGGGGATTATGCTGATCCACATAAATTATCTCTTTATTACAGAGACAGTAATTCTGATTTTATACAAACATCAATTTGATAAGCCAATTTTGTTTTTAATTTATTTAGTCTATTAATGTAATCATATTTATAAAAATAAAATACAATATATAAAATTCAATATTCACCTCTTTATAGACCTTCTTTAACTGAATTTCAGTACACTTTATATAATCATTCAAGTGTTGGATATTTATTTACAAACTAGCTGTTACCTGCAAATTCGTCCGCGTGGGATTATAATAAAAAATAATTCTAAAATAAAAGTGATCCAAGATACTTCTTATAACATTAACTAACTCCAATAAAAGTTCCATCAAAATCGGTCCGGTTGTCTTAATGATTAACAAGAACAAACAGGCAGACAGACAAAAATTTTTAAATCAATCTTTTTATGTATATGTACGGTATATACTTTTGTATATTATACCTTTAGTAAGGAGCTGATTATTTGAAATTATACACACTTTATTTTTATTTATTTGTTTAGATTGCAATTGGCTTTACATTTTAAAAGTCATTATCAAATATGGCTGTTATTGCACTCCACAATATGAGTGTTGACGGGAGGGCGGGGATTGTTAATAATGGGGAATAGGCACCCCTTGAGTTCACCTCCACTTTCTTCCCTCTGGAAACAATCGTAGGTTTTATTTCTGAGTGAATTTTTGTGTAATGCGCCACGATGGACTAACTACCTACCAGGGTGTGAGACACCTGTGGATGATGACAATTCATCCTACCATCCTCCACTGGTATCCCCCAACGTATACCGTTAGAGCAGACAGGTGTGCCGTTCCATTATCACAAATAATTAAAAAAATACTTTTGAGAGGAGATAATATGTATATAAAATATGTTTTCAAAGAAGAGACTTACATCGAAATAGAATGTGTCCTTGCTAAGTGACATTTGATTCTTGAAGCCGTACGGTGCAGCGCAACCATCACATGGAGATATCAAACTGCGAAAGGAAATACTTCAATCAATATTTTAATACAGTTGTTATATACCTTACCGATGTAGACATTATACAAAACCTCTGGTGAATAATCCGATCTTACCTATTTTATTTGAGCCGCTAACTTATTAAAACGTGTTTTAGTTTGAAGGATGAATCATGGCAGTAAATAGAGAGTACGAGGCATTACGTGACGACGTGTCACGTGATGTTTGTTATACTGTAAATTCATGTATTTAAGCGAAAATTGGCACTAATCATCAAATGGATCGTCAGTTCATTTATCACTAGCTATGGCCACGGTTTTACCCGCGTTAATTTTAAGTATATAAATTTCAATATAAAATATACACTATGTGTTATTCTGATGCATAATCTATACTACTGTAAATTTCAACTAAATCCGTCACAGTAGTTTTTGCGTGAAACAAACATCCATACTCACAAATTTTCGCGTTTATAATATCATTAAGATCTATATATATATATAGTTGTAGTTTATGAAGAGAACCTACCTTTTAGGTACTGTTGACACATAAGGCATAACAAGTTTATCCACGAAAGATCCAAAACCAATTCTGAAATTTGATGTAATGTTACTCATAGTGCTCGACAGCAAACTGCCAAGTGTACTAAGCTTTTCTTTGTCGTTTTTCATTGATCGACTGAGATCCATAAGATAGTACAAATCTACTGGATAATCTTGAGCTTGAGAATACTCAAAGGATAGGACTTGCTTTTGATCTGTAAAATAAGGTACATAAAATTATAGTATTTCTGAATAGAAACAGTATATTAGTTACTTGTTGTTAATGAGCCTATCTAGCGGATTTTATTATTTAGAAATATAAATATTTTATTGCAATCAGATAAACCTATATAACCTATAAAAATAAGTGTCTCTGAGACAATATGAATCATTCGTTGTTTCAGTCGATATCCACAAAGAGAATGCTGAATTTGAATGCCCTTATACAAAACGTCAAATTTAGTCAAAGCCCTTGTGTTAAAAATGTTTTACCTTTAGACCTCATGAGGTGCAACATACATGGAGTTTAAGTTTTTAAGTAGTAGATCATGCTATACGAGCATGCGTTTGTTATGGTTGTGTAGCACTAATAAACCCGCTCAAACATGAAAAAATCACACCTTTTTGAATAATATATATAATGATGCTATCAACATGATATCAGACGGCAGTTACCAATTACCATCGAGCGGGTCATCAGTACGTTTACAACTAGGTGTAGTATAAACTTACTCATTCTTAACTTCAGAGCGACCTTCTGGGGTTTAATTTGTACCAAGTTTTCGCCGTGACCGGCGGCGCCCGCGGCCCCACCAGCTCCAGCGCTTCCTCCAGCTGCGAAACTTGATCCTTGGGCACTCCCAGAAAATGACGAACCCATTCCGCTACGGCCTTTCGCTTTAAAGACATAATAATTTCTACATTAAATTACAGCATATTGTTAAGTCAAAACATATATTTATATATTACAAGAAAATAAATTTTACTCACATATAACGCTTATTAACACATAACGCTTCTTAACACAGAAAAAAAATTATAAGACATCAAAACATATACATTAAAAAAATCGTGTCGAATTGTGAATCCCTTCCATATGAAGGGAATAAACTACAGTTTAATGGTTTAAAAAATACATAATATATTAATATAAAAATCGTAATCCTTGACAAGTTTATTATAGGAGTAAACCCTTCTTTAGTTTTGACGAAAATATCCCGATACGATGTCACCACCATTGGAGCCCATCAAGTATTACGTAAGCAGATTTATTACAATTATTTACCCCCCTCCCCCATTCCCTCTTCACCCTTGTCAACAAAAGTAATCAAAACTCTTATCCCCCCATGATTACGTAAACATTTTTCGGTTAATGTATTTTTTTTAGCAAAGACAGTGTAAAGGTTGCCATTCGTGTAAAAAAGTAAATAACTACCGAGAGGTAATCATCATCTAGACTCCCCTACCCCTATGTCACCCAAAATAAGCAAAGCAAAGACCCCCCTATTGTGCTTACGTAATACTTGAACGGCCCCATTTCAGTTTAGTTACATACATAAACATTCATACAATAATACCATGTTAAATATCCTTTATTAAGGATGACTTAAAAACTAATGGTTAGATGTTACTCAAATTTACACGAGAAGGTACTCGTTTTAAAGAAAATAAAATTTTGTTCATTTAGAAAAGTTCTGAGGTATACTTCAACACATAAAAAAGTCTCAATACAGTTGAATCGAACCTCCTCTTTTTTGAAGTCAGTTAAAAAAACATTCCTAGTTGTACTTATTTCAGAAGTGTTTTTAAAAGAACTTTTTTTATTATACTCACCTCTACTGAGCTCCCTACTCGACGTGGTAGCTAGATCGTTATCCGGGTTGAATATGTAAGCTTCATCGCACCCTCCCGTACCACCTTCCATGGAGGGGTTGAAGCATCGGGGCCCGTTGAATTCGGCAGCATAGCACCACGCACAAGAGGCTGTCCTAATACAATCGCTACATGTGGTCTTGCTGGAGCACGGGTTCTGTGCTAGCATCTGTTCAGCGTACTGCGCCCAACTGGTTGCCAATACACACACCAACACACATGCACGTAATATATTAGATGGTGTGCACATTTTTGCGGTTTTGGTTGTCAGATCAAAAAATCTGTAACAATAAATAACATTATATAGACATGATATGCCTACATATAATCACTTAAAAGGTGCACAATTATTTTGTACTCCAAATTGTATAAACGTATGTAAATGGAAATCTACAACAACTATTAAAATATATTTTATTATTTGAAAGTATCATTATTTTAGTTACACACAGATTATATATTAAGTAAAATTTTCTAACGTGGGTAGATACGTGTGTTGTGCTCTGTGTTGTAACAGTCTAAAAGATTATTTAAAGTTATATGAAAAGCCATGGCGAGACAGATACTAAAACGCAATACAGGAGTTACGATCTCACCACTTGGTTATACACGTTGCCATAATATGTTCCTAACACAAGAATTATGGTCAAATTGTGCTCGTTATATAGTGTATAAGGATAAGGAAAAGGACAAGGAAGTAGAGATTACGTAAGTACAAAATATGTAGCTCATACTACCGAGATATCGTTATGTTTCTCTATAATTAAATAGATAGAAACTTTACAGTAAATAATGAAATCTGAATTAGTGAACAGTGACGTAACAAGTAGATCAATGAATTTGAGTAGTAAACTACCGCACGTGGAGTACGGATACGGGACATATAGAGCTCGCACCTGTGGGCGGCCGGCGAGAAAGGGCGTCGCCCACGCGTTCATATCGAGGCCGACAGCGTCGCCACCGAGGTTCGTCCGTGGGATACGTCGTTCGAAAACCGTGTGGATAACAGATTTCAAGTGGGCATAAACGTTACTGCACTCCGGTACCTACATCCACCACATATCTAAGATGCGTGTAGTAACTTTATTTTTCTATACTAATATTTTAAATACGAAAGTACGAACGAATCTTAATAAAATTTGATTTTATTAAGATCCGTTCTTCGGTCTTTCGTTCTGGCTGTTCTGTCATCATACAGATGATATTAAGAAGATCGACATAGACTATCTTTTATATACAAAATAAATAATCTGTAGGAGGTGTGCAGATGACATCGCAGGTAATTAATTTAATTTTCTTTTAATTTATTTACCCACATCTCTGAAAACCCAGCAATGAGCAACTTTAACATTTTTAAGTACAAATGGATCACAAAATTTTAACACAACAAAAATATTATACGCACATACAAAATGTTCCATTAAATTTAGAGCGGCATAACCCAGTTTTATGTACGCTATGCAAAATATAAAGCACATTTTTTGTAGTATTGTTTAAACCATATTACTCATAAAACATGTTTCGATCTGATATTTGTTTTATTAGAAATGCATATTGCATGTATGAAATAATAAATAAAAAATACATAGTTTCGTGGCTAGTATTTGATGAAATCTAACAAGTGGTATCATGATGAATTCGGGACTTAGTCGTAGAAATTACTCATTACCAATAACTTAGTCATACTTGAAATTGTTGTATTTGTCTTGTAAAGAGACTTGGAAAGTGACGACGACTCACCCTTAAGAAACTATAATATAGAGTATATCTTGAAAACCCCATGCCATAATATCATGAGAAAATCTCGATCCACAGTAATTTCTCGTCTATTCAAAGTGACCTTGCAAAGTTTTAAATTGTTCGGTAATACGTTATTAACATGGAGTTGTGGTCTAATGATGGTGCAGAACGAAAGACATATCTTCATAAATAGTTACGTGACAGATATTGATCCGAACCCAAGTTGAACACAAAATTATATTTCTAAAAGCTTATTTTATAAAATAGGCTTTTAGAGATATAATTTATTTTTTAAAACCTACTTGATAAGTTTTCTACATATGATCTAAAATATAAGAAATACTTTGCTAATTTTACTACAGGAAAATATTACACAATTCGTACAAAAAATCGATCGTAGTATTTGGTATGCACACAACACACACAAAACATTAGCGGAAAAATACAATAATGTTTCTAACTAGTTTATGTAAGATATAAAAGATAGTTATTCGATCCGTTTTACGACTATATTTTGTCTAAGCCAAGGAAATTCTAATAATTAGAGCGTCTATTTTAGTCCCTAAATTATAATATAACAAACTAGCTACTCGCCCCGGCTTCGCACGGGCGTACTAGTATTATATATATATAAACCTTCCTCTAAAATCACACTATCTATTAAAAAAACAGCTTCAAAATCCGTTGTATAGTTTTAAAGATTTAAGCATACATAGGGACAGACAGCGACAGCGACTTTGTTTTATACTATGTAGTGATAGTATTATATCCTAATAAATAAATAAAAAAAATAAAAAAATTGTTTATATTATTTGTAGAAATAAAATCCTCGGTCCGACTAGCTCTTCATTCTATAGTGTATTTTATTACTTAATCAGTCCCCTTAGAAATATTTAAGATACTTATTTATTTTAATATAAATATATTAAATAAAATATAGTATATACGTGACAAATTTTATAATTTGTAACGCATACAGTATATTTTATTACACAAACATTAGATGCTTGTTTTCTTAATACTAGTGATATTCTTAAAGATCTTACCTTAAAAATTTCTGGCTTATCTAAATAAAATTAACTTTTATACACATGACGCTAGCGATACTGACTGAGTGTTGTTATCGCAACCCACTGTCATATGTTGACTCACACTTTGCAAACAAACTTTATAAGTGACATGCGATGCACTTCACATATCCTTTAAAACATTTGATTTATAAATGATTCAACTCAACTAAATAAACTAAGCTGAAATATGATCAATTGTCAATACAAGACTATTTTTATAACCCATAATAATTTCGACACTCGCGCCAAATCTAACGATATGATTATTTTTTAACAATTAAATAACATACCTGCTATATTAAAAAGTAAAATAAAAACGAGCACACAAAAAGGTTTTCTTTCCACATAGATTTTCTGTGTTTATTTTTTAATTGACGTTACGTTAATTTTTGTGGCTTGTGTGTGCAGCTCAGCCCGCACGTAGTGCGGCCGCGGCGGATACACGCGTGACTAATTGTCAGAAAATAACTTCGTCAGCGGTGATACAGCAACCGCCGTCACCGTTTCTTCTTGGAACATATAAACTGAATACAATTATTACAAAGCCACGATTGGAAACTATAATTTATCGTACAAAAAAAATAATGCATTACAATAAAGCAGGTCGATTAAATCCAGTTTATTCACATAAATGATGTCGGGTGTACTGTATTGTTGCAGTACGAGCTCGAAATCTTTCATAACCGGTTGACCTCTTTATGTCGTGCATAAACTTCTCATGTTATGTATGCTATTACATACATGCACTTTTACAAAAAAAAATAATATATTATTATTGAACTAAGTAATGAATTATGACAAAAAAAAACATTCCTATACATGTTAATAATTACATTATTTATTTTTTTCATTTATATAATATAAATAAACTAAATAAATTATATCATATAAACTAAAAACAAAACACTATTTTAGAAAAAACTAAAAACAATATTACTTACGTAATGAATATAGAAACAAAAACATGGCTGTATACCTTAACTTTCCACCTTTCACGCCTTTACGACATAAGTTATGATTGAAATAAAATAGTGTTCTAACCTATATATTTATAATACCACAGATAACGGCGGGGAATCTACAGCGGGCGACCACCTACATAAATAACGGCACCTAGTCTATTGGGGTTGAAATCTGTTTGAGCACGTTTTAATCAACAATTTGTGCTAATAATAATACTAACAAATAACATTCATGCATTTCAAATATCTATTCTTAAAAATTGTTGACGAATAAATCCAATCAATGTGACTCAAAACAAATGCCTGTGTAGGTCAGACGAATGACATCATTGACGGCCAACCTTCATGATCAATGATTCTATCGTAAGCAAGTTATTATTTACTACACTATTATTAATAGGTATATTATGCTCACATAAAGCGGATGACCGACCACTATATCCCAGTGTTAGTAACATTAAGTTCCTAATTTTTAGAAGTAACACTTTAATATTAAAATGACCGGAATGGGATCAGCCACGCCCTAGGTTTCTATGTTACGGAACGACACAGAAATTAATAATTTATAAATCAACAACGTCTCTATTCCTATTCCAAAATGAAATCATGTGCACCGTAAACAATGTGGATTATACCAAAAGTCATTATCAAATATATTTCGTACTTATACGAAATATATTCGATGACTTTACAGAACTTTAATTACACCGGCTTTTGAACATAGCTTTATTTGTTTTACCACATGTGGGCACAAACAAAAGCATAGCCAGACATGTTTCGCAAACATTTTGGGGCGTGGGCTTGCAGTATTCATTTAGTACTACTGAACTTGGGGCAAGTAGAGCACGTTAGATCGCACAATATGTATATTTGTCTTTCAAAAACTGACAAACGAAACAGTTTATTCTAAACTAGCTGTGCCTGCTGTTTCACCCGTCTGAAAAATTTATCCTATGTGTTATTCTGATGTAATTTAAACGCTTGCTTAAAACTGAAATCCCCATGTGAAACATTGACTTTAAAAAACTGGTATATATGAAGAAGTTTTAATCAAGAATTCCTTAAACTTGTAGCTCACCAAAGGATTTTTTTTCATGCGAATGTTTAATGTTTACAGTAATACAGATTCGTAATCCCTATGGTTTCATAACGGTTTAAATTAGAATGCAACTTGTGATGCTGTAACATACGTAGAGGCGCCCTGACGTACCATCTTTGTAGAACTCTTCATCTAACTTTTATAGAAACGAGACTTATAATTTTTGGGGTATGTAGTTTCATGTAGATTATAGAAACGCATATATGACATTATAATTTTTTGGGGTGCAGTTTAAACGATTTGATAACTTTCTATAAATTTAATTATTATTGTTGTACGTAAAGATTCATAATCTACCTTGTAAAAAACATGAAGGGATGAATCAGAGGATAGCGAATGTAAAACTAAAATGGATCATCACTATTTCCATTTGCGGAGTGGCGAGGGATAACAACTTAACAAAGTACTTAACATGTAGATGCGATATCGAATACATGCGATTTTGATTTAATCACAATTCAACCATTGAAATCGGCCAGTAGGCCCGAAGTCCGTATTTGGAAAAGACCACTTTACATGCGAGTACTTATCTGTGATACGAGGCTCCTTGTGCAACGGTAAATATATACATTTCTTATAAGTATGTTCATGGACCCTTATTAATTTGTTATCTATAAGTAACAGAACTGTATCCTTCGTTCCTGGTAGCCAGTTTCCATATATCGACAATAACGGTGATGGGGTGCAGTGGATGAGGTCAATGACATCTCCCGCTTGCAGTACGGTCGTAATATACCTGACCTGTAGTATGCTATTACTAAATATAACAAAAAACTACCGATCTAATATACAGTATTTTCGTTTATAGTAGAATTCGTTTCTTTAATTCTATGCATAATATTAATAGTTGTTAGTACAGTTATTTATATTCTTAATAATAAAAAAAATACCTTATGCCCATTTACTTACTTTACTATAGGTCATATGAAATAGGAGCTCTTTGGGGGTCTAGAATTACCACTTTACTTGAATTTATTACAGGATGTTTTTTAGAATCCGTCAATGCCTTACTCTGATGTTATTGTGTATTCTCTCAACCAGAGAGGCCTACAGTGCTTGGCGGGTTATGCAAAACATTATAATTCGTGTAAAGCAGCGTTATAAAACCCTAATATTATGACCAGTTTAGATAGTTGACCTTTTTGTCTTACGTTCTCTAATAAACATATGTGGAATATTGAGTGCTGCTTGTAGGGACTGGTCTGCTCTTATCACTACGACTGATTTAATCTTATTGCATATTTATATTTGACCCAAAAAATTTGTGCTTGTTGGTAGTTTGTATTCACACGTTTCGACTTGTAAATGTAAACTTACAAGGATTATTTAAAAAAGCAACACACAAGTTTTTTGCTCGTTCTTCTTATGATGAGACAGTTTTCCGAACGAGTGGTATATAAAAAACAAATTGTTATGACTATTCAAAAGTGCTTAAATTAAGTTTATTTGAATAAATGATTTTCTATTCTATTCTATTCTACTGTACAAATATATTACATAATAAAAATGACTACTTTTACTTATAACAAAAACCCAGACATCGCGGTGCAGTAATATCCAATTGCAAAAATGACACTCGTTTTTATAAAAACAGCGGTCATACAGCCATTCCCGATGTTTTAGCGAGCCTTATTGTTTGCTTCTTTTGTTATATGAATAGGCGCGAATTCTTCTGACATTGATTTACATAATGAAAACATTAATGCGATTATATTACTGAGCTGACCTGGCAGATATGATGGCATGCAATTATATCTTTAATTGAAAGTATCCTAATTAAATGTTGATGTTGTAGAAAACCTTTTTTGTACTTGTAGAATTTGAGTTATGACAAACTTAACCCTCAGATCCACTCTACTATATATATGATATGGTCCAGTTTCCTAACGTGTGGTAACTATTCAAAAGACTATTAGACAGTATATGTATACAGCTCTGGCGTCATTCTCTTATCATTTAGTTGTTACAGCTCAGGTCTCGACTTGGTTCTGCCAGAGTCGCGGTAACATAACGCTAACGCTACCTCGCTACTCTGGCAATGCACATGCTCGTAAGTATATCATGTGGTTTTTAACCGGATAAGAATTCTACACACCCCTTTACATTACATTTTTTTCCTCTAATGGGGAATCGTATTTTGAAGATTTTCAACAGGATAAATAAAAAAAAATGCATCCACTTGGTTAAAGTGACTAGTTTACCCTGCAGAGGCAACCATCTTGGCCCTAGTGGTGAATTAAGGGTGGAATCGGAGATGTCACTGTCACTAAACAAGAATTTTTTCTCATGGACTACTTAAAACAATGAATTGATATTGAGGAGTTAGTCATCTGTCTATATTGTTAACAATATACAGTACTCACAGATTTATATATGTCTGTGCAGTATAGTACATACAGATATTAACATATGGACAAAACTGAAGGAAATGTTTTTGTCAAATAGACATGTTTCTATTATTTCTTTTTTATCTAAGACTGCCTATGAGACTATTTTCTACATGTATCCAAAAATATATATCAAGGTATTACAAAGTAATCTCATCTCATTCCATTACCTAATACATAAATAACCATAATATATGGTAAGTGTAAAATTTATTATACATTTTGGTGAACAATATTGGTCTATCTTCACTGTCACAAGACTAATTCCAAGAATTGGACTGAGTGTGGATTTGTTGCAAATTTATATTATAATTGTTATGTGTTTAGACTGTTATAGATAATTGTACCTCCTTAACAAAGTTAGCTGTTTGTTGCCAATTAGTGATGACTAAATGACATTTGACTCAATTTTAAATCTTACCGACACAACAGTACAACATTGAAGGCAACTTCTCAATAAATAAATCCATAGCCTTCATGTAGCTTTATACAATAAGAGGTTATATAGTACATTAATGATTTACTTCTTAATTCTCATGAATAATGTGCCTCATTTATATTTATGCCTCAGATAAAAAAATAACTCTAAATAAAAATTTCAGTTTATTTCTCATGTTGTCATAATAAGCAGATAGGTGAACATCAATTCTCATATGTTCTAAAGCTAAATTACATGAAGGATATTTTTATACGAACCTTCTAAATAGTAATGTTTAGTGACTCACTTTCAGTTTTAGTTACAAAACAATTGAGGTTTAATGTTAGTTATAGTTGTGAGTTATAAATTCATTAAAATGATCAGCAGTCAGAAAATCTCATTAGCATTAAAAAAAGATACTTTGACACTTAAACTTACCATTCAAAAGTACTTGTGTATAAATTCAACACCAATATACTGAACAAGTAACATGGAAGCACTCTATTCTGGTCGTATTTTCAAGTTTAAATCTATATTGCTAAGTATTTAATTGACACATGTATGTAATGGTGATTCAGATCAATCGAGAGCTTAAATAAGTAATACACCTACATTTAGACTACAGAAAATTAGGTCGCTGTGAGCCATGGCTTGAAAGGATTTCATACTTTCGATGCCATTACGGCATTACTTACCAGTCTTCAATGGTTTCACATAAATAATAACAATCACGAATAAAACATAGTTTGGTATTATAATATATTCACGTAAATTTAATTTATAGTAAAAAATACACTAAAAATGAAACAATAGTCAACAGGAAAGTAAGAAAACTTGAGAAAACAAACCCAACCAACCATAGACTAAATTAGCTTTACAAAATTACTCTGTGCTACTGACATTCCTATCGATAACCAAATCAATGTCAGTGACTTTACATGAATATTTACAACTTTGTTCGACTTTGTAAAACGAACTAAATTGCAAGTAAATAAATATTTGTCGTTAAAGTTTTATTAAGTATATAATAATATTAATATATAAGTATTTACTTCAAAGTTACTACACATATTCTCACGAGAGTTTGCTCTTTACAATGTTCCAAAATTCAAAGTGACATTTAATACAATATTTTCGAATTTAACTCTAGTTACTGCTAATTATACAGATTAAAAAATACTACATTGATTAGTGTAAACAAGACATATAGAACAGCAAGTCTATGGGTAAGTCAGTAATCTATTTTTTTTTATTGATTAAGTCTGAGATGTTGGCAACAAATCGATATTCTTTGCCATGTTGGTGACTTGATGGTAGAATAACCAATAGAAAGGCATTACGGCCTTTCTTCTTTGAAGAATATGGCCGACATTTTGATGTTGCTGTCATGAAGATTTTTCAGTGACATAAAATTTTTAACTTTGTAGTTCTTCATGCACGGTTTTAAGTTCCCAGAACATTTTATTTTTTAATCGCTTGTTGGTGTTTAGTGTAATCCTGTTTTGTTGTTATAATGGCAGCTGATCGGGAGATTGCTGCTGAAGACAGCATTAGAGTCGTATGTCGATTTCGGCCACTCAATGACTCTGAAGAAAAAGCTGGTTCAAAATTTATTGTGAAATTCCCTTCGGGACCTGATGATAATTGCATTTCTATAGGGGTGAGTGAGTTCTATAAACTTAATACGTAATTCTGTGTTCCTGTATCATCGCCCTAAATTAGATCATGATGACTAATACATTACGACTTGTTCACCTGCTACGAAATGGCCTTTCTTTTCTATTCCGCTCCGTTGACTATGATTACAATAGCGTAAATTTAAGATTGATGCTGTATTTTGACGAAATCGTAACCAATTTCTTTGTTTTGCCGAAAATCAATACAAATACCTTCACGGCCTTGACCTGAGCATTCTTATTTTTTGTTATATTAAATTATATATATTTGTTTGTTTATGTTTAGCCAATTCTTCTGATAAGTTTATTTATCGGTAGAGATCGTATTTAAAATATGCCTCATATTTATAGAATATTAATTTATATACTTTTGTAGGTGGGTACTTATTTCATAACAAATATTATATATCTTAACATAATGTTCAAGAACTGTAAAATAACAATGCAAGATACTGATGAATTAAAACAGAAACTATTACCTATCTAGATATATTAATTTCTACAAAACTAAACATCCATATATTCAATTTTGATGGTAATATTGCTTACCATATGTACAAAATGAATACTGTCAATTTGATAACTATTGAAAATCCACTTTTACCAAATGGTTCAAAAATAGAACAATTGTAAAATTATTATTAATAACACTCACTTAAGTGATCTGACTGGACCAGAGATAGTTAATCTGTATATATGTATATTCTCTGTAAGCATACAATTACATTAACATTCTCCTGCAGGGGACTCTCCTCATAAGAGGAATATATTAACATAGCTACCCATTGGCAAACTGTGTTGATATATTTACATACTCAAATATAATAAAATGTAATTGGTAGATTTATGTTCAGAATAAGTAGTTTACATTAGTCTGATCTGAATCACACTTTATCAGTTCCATTTTACTGTGGCATTGATTATCTTTTACTTTGATATAAATGGGATAAATGTTGCAACAATGCTTAACCAGTCATATCTGGCACATGCTCACATTCTTGACCAACTTGCATTGTTGCAAAATCTTTTTATTTATTACAAAATGTAGGTATATTTTTGGCTTTTTATTCAAATATATAAATTACAATTAAAATTGCAATACTTGGGCTTGAATTCCTTTTCAATTGATGTAATATTATCTTAAAAAATGAACATTTAGAACATAATATATTCTTATTATAGGGGAATATAATTTTATCTAAAACCTTAGATTTAATGTTCAATCTATTAGAAAATCTATAATAAATGTTGTATAGTGAGCAAACCTTGTAACTATATGTATATTTTGTTAATAGTTCATCCTTATTAAACAAATGACTTCATTTTATATGTCTTTAAATTGAGATTAGTCACTCTATGTAGACAAAAATAATGAAACATGAGTTTGTATGGAAGATATTTCATCCATTTAAGACATACTTAATTATTATGATTCCCCATTCTGTCACATATTTATACTTCCTGATAGTCAATATTTGTGCACATTGTATGATATTTTAATAAAGGTCTTAAAGAACAAGAGTAACAAACACACCCACTTTCACATTTATAATATTATTCAGGTGATCACATATGTATAATGTGTACTCAGCAACATATAAAGTAATAAGAAATAAAAAACGTCCTCTAATTATGTAACCAAGTAATAAGGTAGTAATTCATTAAACCTTTATTTAGACAAATCATTAATTATTGAACCTTGATTATTAACATAAAATTACTAATTTTGATGTTTGAGTTTACAATGCAGAAAGCACAAAATAATAAATGTTAAAAAAATTTACAAATATATTCTTTTCTTTTTTCAACTTCAGTATTATACAGATGTACATTATATGTACTAACAGCCTATAATTATGAATAATTCAATGAGACTACATAAGTTGAAAACCTAAACATTTATGATTAATGTAAAGGTTTTATCTCTTCATGAAACTACTTAATGCACTAAATTTAGCATATATTATTTCATTTTACGTATTTACCAAAATATATTATGAATTTATACTAATCAATGAACACAAATTTTATTATTGGTTTTGTGTGATGTAAAATTAATGTAGCATTGATTTGGTCAAGACAATTTATTTTTTATAATATTCCAGGGTAAAGTGTATTTGTTTGATAAAGTTTTCAAACCAAATGCTACTCAAGAGAAGGTCTACAATGAAGCTGCAAAAAGTATTGTGTCTGATGTGCTGGCTGGTTACAATGGAACCATATTTGCATATGGTCAGACCAGTTCTGGTAAAACACATACTATGGAAGGTGTCATAGGTCTGTATAATTATTTTACATAGTACATTTATTTGTCACTTTAATTCTCCTTAACAGCCAGATTTGAATGGACATGTATGGAATGTAGGTTTCCAGTTTCACTAGTATAATAATAATGTTTTATAATTGACTACTGCCAATAATTACCTTTGTCGAGCCTGTGGTAGGCCATGCCACTCTCATATTGGTTTATACAACCACGAAAAGAGCTGTTCATGGACCATTATGCCATAAATGATATATAACAGACTATATAATTGAAAGTAAATAATTGCAAGTAATTAATGATACAAAGACTAAAATCGCATATTCAGGATTAGAACAATGGGTTTATCAATAAGAAAAGATAACACTATCATTTCTACAGACAGAATCAGTACAACACTCACACTATTTCCCTGACCAACCTATACCTATATGACTTTATATCAGCTAATAAAATGATTTTATACAGTAAACTAAGCTAAAGCTGACAGTAAACTAATTATTTAATAAAAAATGGTGTCTAAGGATATAATATTCCAATTTTTTTTTTAAACTGAATAAACTTCTGTATTATGAATGTGGTATGTGTCTGTACTAAATTCCATATTCAGAATTGTGTTCCTATTTCAACTCCATTTATTTTATTTATTTAGATTAGGTCTATCTCAATCAATAAATTTAAATATTGTTTTTGTTTTAAAATTGCAGGAGATCCAGGAAAACAGGGTATTATTCCAAGGATAGTAAATGATATTTTCAATCACATCTATGCAATGGAAGAGAACCTTGAATTTCATATTAAAGTGTCATATTTTGAAATATACATGGACAAAATCAGAGACTTGTTAGATGGTAAAAAATATCTGTATTCATTTTTGTTGTATTATTGCTGTTTATTTTTAATTTAGAAATTAGTAAATTATATAAGAAATTATTTGCAGTATCAAAAGTCAATCTGAGTGTTCATGAAGACAAAAACAGAGTTCCATTTGTAAAGGGTGCTACTGAACGATTTGTGTCAAGTCCTGAAGAAGTGTTTGAAGTTATAGAAGAAGGAAAATCAAATCGACACATTGCTGTGACAAGTATGTATTTGGTACATTTATATATATACAGTTTTTTTTCTATGAGAATTACTTCACGAACTGATAATATATCACATAATTTAGACATGCATAATCATGATCATCTATTTTAGTTAGAATAGTATCCCGTTTTCAATAACATTGTTGTAGTATCATGTTGAATGTATAGTAATTAAATTAATTTAAAATTTTATAGAAAATAATTCCATTTTAACATTTTATTCATGACCGCAGACATGAACGAACATTCATCTCGATCTCATTCTGTCTTCCTCATAAATGTGAAACAAGAGAACTTAGAAAACCAAAAGAAACTTTCTGGAAAATTGTATCTAGTGGACTTGGCTGGTTCTGAAAAGGTAATTGTTATATTTTTTACACAACATTAAATAATCTATAATAGTATAAAATTTGTAGTAATAAAGTAAATAAATATTAACATGTGTCAAAAATTACACCTTAACAGGCTCATGAAACAATATAGGGTACTATATATATAAATATCATTTTAGAAATTTTTTTTGTCTGTCTGTCTGTCTATTTTCATTTTGATGGGACATTCACTCGCAGAGCTAATGTTATAAGGCGTAACTTACCATTGGCTACTTTTACTTTAGAAATTTCATTTATTTTGATAAAAAATGACAGTTTCCACGCGAATCAAGTCGCGGTACCTACCTATTTAGAATAATGAAATTATATTATTTAACGAAAAATTATCGATATACCACAATAAAAACAATTTTTATCAGGTGTCCAAAACTGGTGCTGAAGGTACTGTGCTTGATGAAGCGAAGAATATTAACAAATCTTTATCGGCCCTCGGTAACGTAATTTCGGCCTTAGCGGATGGGAACAAATCTCACATCCCGTACAGAGACTCAAAGTTAACTCGTATATTGCAAGAGTCGCTCGGAGGTAACGCCAGAACAACTATTGTCATCTGCTGTTCACCAGCCTCTTTCAATGAAAGCGAAACAAAAAGTACTCTCGACTTTGGTAAAAGGTATAATTGATTCACTATGCTTACTATGTACTAGCTATCTGTCTTCTCTTCTCACGGGTGCAAATATTGTAGAGAACTCTTATTATTTTTTATTATAATGCAGCCAATGTCAGTAACTCATAAAGTTACCATTAATTAATTAAAAGAATTTTCACTTACGTTAAATATTTTTCTAATTTATACATTAGTAACGAAAAAATATATTTTAAGGGCTAAGACGGTTAAGAATGTTGTATGCGTCAACGAGGAACTCACTGCTGAAGAATGGAAACGTCGTTATGAGAGAGAAAAGGAGAAGGTGGCTAGGCTTAAGGGCAAGGTAATTATAATTTCAATAAAATTAATGTTTATATTCTATTTTTGTCATGTATATATGATAACAATTTTTTTTCAATAGGTTGAGAAGTTGGAAGCCGAGCTGGCGCGCTGGCGTTCTGGCGAAACTGTGCGACCAGAAGAACAGGTTAACTTACAAGAGATTGATGCTGTCACTCCAATTACATCATTCATTGAAGAAAAGCCACCTGCACCGGTCAGTACAAATGTAATAACGTTTTACTTTTTATATTCTAATTATATGCTTAAACAAAATCTAGTAATGGAGGGACAATGTGACTATATAAGTATTTAATATACTGTACTAAGTACTTATACTGACATACTTAGCAATTTAATTACTGGTTTTAATACGTATGGTTACTGTGGTTTGTTTGTGTGGGTGTCTTTTTTATATTCTAAACATTTATTTATATTTTAGCCTGTGCCAGTGGCGGTCTCGAGCGTAGTTGAAGATGCAGCCATGCAAGGTAAATTGGAAACCTTGTATCAACAACTTGATGATAAAGATGAAGAGATCAATCAACAGTCACAGTTGGTCGAAAAACTTAAGGAGCAAATGATGGAACAAGAAGAACTCATTGCATGCACCAGGTGAATGTTATGGGATGAATTTAGAACTTGTTTTTGTAACTTTCTCTTTATATTTCTAAATAATGTTCCATGATCAATAGTAGTAGACTATTTAGAAATATTAAAAGAAAGTTACAAAGATTGAGTTTGGATGGATTTAGATGTGTATAGCTTGCCTTATAGAATAGACTGGCTTAACTCATTCTAACATTTTGTTTAGACGTGACTATGAAGCACTGCAAGGTGACATGAACCGAATCCAACAAGAGAATGAAGCGGCGAAGGAAGAGGTCAAGGAGGTTCTTCAAGCTCTCGAAGAGCTTGCCGTCAACTATGATCAGAAGTCACAGGAGGTTGATAGCAAGAGTCGTGAGTGTGACCAATTATCTGAAGAGTTACAGACCAAACAGGTAAATTACTTATTGGTCTTTGATTATTGTTAATTAAATATACTTTCAAATATATTTAATTTTGTATTATAATTGTATTAAATTTTACCTAACAGAGTGCACTGACAACTGCAACGGCCGAGCTGCAGCAACTTCGTGATTTATCGGCACATCAACGGAAGCGTATCGCTGAACTTCTTACGAATTTGCTGAGAGATCTCGCGGAAATAGGTTCCGCAGTAGGTGGCTCCGAACTCGACTTCAAACTCAATGTGGACACAGTTGGCAAACTCGAAGAAGAATTTACAGTCGCGCGTTTACACATTAGCAAAATGAAGAGCGAAGTCAAGAACATTGTACAGCGTTGTCACTCTCTTGAGTCTGCCAATATTGATGCTAATCAAAAGGTGAAATATTTTTAGAATGTTGTTTTCGACTGTAGTAAGAGATATGAAATATTTTATTTATTTAGTTGAATATACAAGTTTTAACATTATAACTTTTTGATCATCAGATATGAAAAACTGTGAAATCCATAGTATGTAAGTGATTATAGCAATATAACCATTAATTTATCACAACAACTATCAGATCATATTTACCTATTGCACATGGATTTTATAATTTGTTTAACTTAATTTAGATTGAGGAATACGAGCGGTCGCTTGGAGAGTGCCGCCTGCTGATTTCTCAGCACGAGGCGCGGTGTGCCTCGCTCGCGGAGTCCATGCGGGAAGCCGAGAACAAGAAACGACAATTGGAAGAGGCGGCCGATGCTCTTCGTGAAGAATGTGCCCGACTGCAAGTGAGTACAACTATTTTCTTTGTCGTAATTATAAATTCTAAAATGGCAATATTAATACTCTTGCTATTTGATTATCAAAAATGTAAATTATAATATGTTTTTTTATATGAGTAATTGCGTTGTATTTTTACCGCGCTTGCTTTTTATGTATATTTAAATACATTGTATATTATCATTAGGACGTCATTTGTTAGATAAAAATTTATAAATCCATAAATATAGGTGTAATAAATAAAGACCAAGTGTAGAAAAATTTAAAACAAATGTGATTATGCCATTAATAATAATTATTATTATTTATTTATTTTCCTCACAAACATTGTACAATAATAATAACTTTATTGTGCAAAAAAACAAATACAAAAGGGACTTAACTAAGGTTATATATCTATATTTATACATATATATAATAGTTCTTACAATACATTTTTTAATTGATGTGATGCAACGAATATCGTATTTACAATAAATATTGTACTACCTGCCAAATACAAATTCAACTATTGCTGCAATTAATATTGCATTAAGGTCAAAGGAAATAAAGCAAGCTGAAGTATTTATATATTCCAAGTAATGCAATAATCAAATTTAACTACAGGTAGTTTCCAGCTAAATGTTTCGCTTTCTAGAGCAAGAAAAAACACAAGACTGAACAATATATTTAATAATATATTATGCATGCGTTTCAGCTATATCTATGTTTGTATTTTTTAATAAAAAAGTACAAAATCAGTCATTGTGACATGATTATATTCAATTAAAATATAACAATTTATTTGAATAAAGATTATTTCTATTTCTATTTCTATTTCTAACATGGCAACTCCTTTATTTAATAACATGAAAAACCATCAACATAGGTTTACAGGAAAATAAATTATTATAATATTACAATGTTTTTAATGAAATTGAGATTTGTTCTTGTAATTTCATAAATTTTTATAGCAACAAGATTTAAGTTTTGATTAATGCATCGGTTCTCAAAATGAGTTTTTTTAGTCTCAAATGCGTTCGCATTATAACAAACGTAATGCATATGTTTCATATACACTGTGTTACGTTTTAACATTTGCTATGTCTACACTCTTGTCTTGACTGTCTGTCGTGTATGTGATAAATGACGGTGATTATAATGGCGTGGTATATGTACGTGGTAGGCGGCGGAGCGCGTGCAGCTGGCGGCGGCCGAGGAGCGTGCGGACACGCAGGTGCGCGGCGCGCTCGAGGCCCAGCTCGAACAACTGCGGGCCGCCCACGCCACGCAGCTCGCCGCCCTACGGGACGAGCTCGCCGCGCTGCAGCGCCAGCACCAAGAGCTCAAGGAGTTAGTACACACTCACTCGTTCTTAATACTAAATACCAATTACAGCTGTCAAGCAGCCTCCTTCGTAAACTGTGTCTTTACTATAGAATGTCATCAGATTCCGTTGCAAACTGTTTCTGTACTACAGATTGTTAGTACATGATATCTGTGGTGCTGCTCAGGTATATAGGCGACTGTTATCGCTTATTAGCTTCTTTGCCATTTCCAGTTAATAGTTCATAAAAAATTGGATGTATGACTAGTTAGCGATGCTACAACTTGTTCAGAAACACTATTGCTGCAAAATTTGGTAACACTATTTCAGTAGATGACAATATTATATTTATAGTCTTTATACTGTTTGACTAATACTATCTTCCATATCAAACTTGTCTATAGGTGCCTAGCTATTTTTGTAAGATTTTTTTACGTTTATTCTCAGCAAGATAAAATTATAGGTGTTCTTGGTACTACAATATTTCAAACACATATGCCTTATGCACTATTGATTATGATTGTTTTTGTTAACAGTACATACCAGGAGCTGACACTCGCTCGGCAGCAGTTGCAGGACGACTACGAGAAACTGAAACGCGAGGAGGCCGACAAGTCGGCGAAACTCAAGGAGCTCATGTTAGTGTCACGATCGCCCCGTCGTAATCTAGACAAGGCCGAGAAAGAGGTCGCCAACCAACAAATGCTCATGAAAGACGAAGGCGATCATTTTAAAGATTATATAATGTCACCTAAGAAAGCTAAGTTAGCTTTCGAATATGACGTGGGCATAGATAAAATTGCGGCCAAAGAGGAAAAGTCGCTCTCGGCAATTTCCAAATCACCCGCTCCTCGTCACTCCTGTAACATCCACCCCCTTCAGTTGCATTTAATTATATCTGTCACCATGATCCTCCTCACCCATCGCTACCCACAGATAGTCGTTTTAGTTTGAGCTTCATAACTATTGTTATCCCAATCGATGTGGGTCTCCATTCACTTCATTGGACAATAGTTGTTTCAGTGCCTTTTGAATTTACTGTTTTATGTGCATGTATTGTTTGGAATCCAAACATATTTGTTCAAGTGTGTTAAGGAGATCCATGCCGCTATGTTATCGTATTATATACATTAACGCTTCCGTGATCAGATACAGCATGTTTATGTTGTTCATCGACAGCAATAAACTTGTAATGTAACGATAATACCATGAACTAACTGTATATGCATCGATATTGTTACATACTGTTTAATTATTTCTTAATATTTTTTATGCTTTTTACGCTCCTGTGCTTCAGATATTGATTGATGCTAGTCCAAATTGCATTTATATTATTGAAAATGTGTATATAGTTAATTATTTTATTATGAATTTTATATTGCTTATATGAGGAAAATATCTATTTAATTAGATGTTGCAATCCAGCATGTTCAGTATTGTTATGCATTTATGTACAAGCATGTTTCTCCCAAATATTAAGTATACATATAATGATATGTGTAAGTAATAATAACAAGTTCTAAAGATAGTAGGTTATCGCGTTATTTAATCATATTATCGGGGAGGCGTGATTTATGGAAACTTGTTTTAGTAATTATTTTTTTCTCTCTTTAAGAATCCCTTTCTTAAAGCAAACATCGCAAATCGTGTTTAAATTATTTCACTGCCATATTATGTTTTAATATGTTGAGTATATTGTGAGCGTTAGTAGGAAATGTAAATGGTTGAATTGTTATTATATAACTATTGTGACTTAGAAGTAATGTTAGAATGTTAGTAGCATTAGTTACGATGTCACAATGTACCATACGTACGCAATGTTCAAGTATTTAAATAATACAGATATATAAATTAGGGCACATATACGCAATTTTGCCTGATATATCAAAACATTTAGCAAATTTATTATATTGGAATATCGATATGTAAATAATATTTTAAATATAAAACAACGTTTGTATAGAGAAGAGAGCGAGTCATATTTTTACTTACGTATTTTTCTAATCGATTTAACGACCATAAATTAATTACTTGGCGATATAATCAGGTCAGTACTAGGCTGAACTTAAATATTGACCGTATTCAGATAATAACTATTGTACAAAAAACACGTAGGTAGTAGGCAATTAGTAATAAAACTAAATTACAAATAGTATGATAAGAAACATTTAAGCTATAATTTATGCATCTACAAATAATAAAAATGTCGAGAAATGTAACCCATATAGTGATCAATTTTGCTCACATATATCTATATTAAATAGAAACACACATCATAGTTGATGTGAACAGTTCAAAATATTTGCACGCGATTAATCGCTTCTATGTTGCTACTAATAAAATGAGTCATAATTTATAGAGCAAAGCAAAAATAATATATTTAATTAATTTTAGGAGTATTTAATATTTACGCTATGCTTTAGGAAAACAATTTCAATTTTTCTTTATGACTTTTACTAAACTACCATAATAAATACTATATAATACTACTATACAAATAATAAAAACGAAAATGACTAAATTATATGTGAATTTTACCTATACTAAATATGTAACATTTAGCAAAGGTAAAATTTTACATTTGTGTAGTGTTATTAATTTGATTTACTTTTCTTGACATATTGTTATTCGTAGATACAGCCATGTTATTAATATTGGAACTTATTGCATTTAATTAACGGGAACATAATTATTGTTTATTTTAATTCCATTTGGTGCATTTATTCAAGTTAGCGCGTCATTATTTTGTTAAGTTCGTAATTTGAAGTTCACCGCATGTTTGTTATCACTCCTGCATTATGTTTACACGTGTACAATGTTCCATTGCATTTATATATGTATTTATTGATTCCTAGTATCCATCTTCACTTCCTCTAGTCTGTGTGCACTCGAAATGCCGAAGAGTGATTGTCGCCTCGACCTAATAGATGCGTGCAAATAGTCAAATACGCCTGTTTTACACTATTTGCACGTTGTTGTTAATTGTCACTGTGATGTGTCTCTAGTTACAATTTAATCTAGAAAATTGTGTTATTTACTTATTATAAATTTTAGAAAATATCATTTCTAGATGGAATTGTTATTGACACGATGTTACATATCGAATAATGAATATAATCGTGAACACGTAGCCTATGTAAGTACTAAGTAGACGTAGTGCGAGGTCTTGTAACGCCTTCTGCTTTTTAATTTTGAGTTGTCATTTTATTCCGCACGTATCCCATTCATATTCATTCTGCCGGGGGTTGGCATTCTCAAAGTATCGGCCTAAGAGTACAGAGCATCAATGTATATGGATGGGTGCGTGCTGACAGATATGATAGCTCTGACACTCCATTTTCAGGTAAATGAAAATTTATATGTATAAGTAGATTTACTAAAGATTCTATTGTATTAATTTTACTCTTTTCCACAGTCAAAGCGTGGAGCGGCGTGAACAAGCTCGCGCCGATCTCAAAGGTTTGGAGGATACTGTGGCTAAGGAGTTGCAAACTCTGCACAACTTACGCAAACTCTTCGTACAGGACTTACAGGTCAGGTTCTTAATACTGTATATTGTGGTGTAAATGGTGAACACAGTTAACAAAAAATATAATTTGTAAGTTTATTGTATTCGTACATTTATTACAACAGGCAAGGATAAAGAAATCCACAAACTCTGAAGAAGGCGCTGAAGAAGAAGGCGGCTCGCTCGCACAAAAACAGAAGATCTCATTCCTGGAGAACAATCTAGAACAACTGACAAAGGTGCACAAGCAGTTAGTCCGCGACAACGCCGATTTGCGTTGCGAACTGCCCAAGCTTGAGAAGCGCTTGCGAGCCACTATGGAGCGCGTCAAGGCATTAGAGACGGCCCTCAAGGTAGTATTTGTATTTTATGTATATAAAACATGTGTTCATCCTTTATTAATTTGTATTTAACTTGTTGCTCTATAACCTTTTTTTTTATTACATAGGAAGCTAAAGAAGGCGCAATGCGCGACCGTAAGAGATATCAGTTTGAGGTGGACAGGATCAAGGAGGCGGTTCGCGCTAAGAATCTTGCGCGAAGAGGACCACAAGCACAAATCGGTGAGGGGGAATTATAAGTATTATTCATCTAAATTGAATAATTGACATGTTTGCATTTAAACTGTTAAGTAAACAAAGGATCTTGGAAACTTATACTTTTGTACTTTCTTAGCGCACGCTACACACATGTAATGAAATGGGAGTGTGTACCCACAATGAAATAATTTATGAACTTCCTATGTAAAAATTAAAAAGAGCTGCTGAACAGTTTAATTTGCAACCTGTGACTGTAAAGAGATATATAGCAGCGAAATTACTAGGTACAATGGCGTATTACCTATATAATATACTGTTCAGATCTTTAGACGTGACTATTACTGAATTCCATCAGTTGGGTCGTCTGCTTTTACCCTCATCATCATATATAAGAATATGTGGCGCTCAACAGCTGGAGAACCGCCTGAAGACTGGACGTGACGTTTGGGACGACATACGTACAATGTTTCTGGCCAATTTCCTGTACTTAATGCGACCGAGTCTTATAAATAAAGTTGATTTCGGTAGTCATATAAGAGCGATGTCATGGCTTTACATGACAAGGGGAATATCACCATAGGAATGTATTAATACATATTTGCATTTAATGTTTGCAGCGAAACCGATCCGCGCCGGCGGCGGCCACATGGGCGGCGGCGCGGCCGGCGTGGTGCGAGCCGCGCCCGCGCAGGACATCAAGCGGAAGTCCATCATCGTCGGCGCTCGAGGTACTTGTTCCTAAATAACATTGAGTAAATCAAATGTATTTTTCAATTTAAACATATCTGTATTGGCATACCTATGGAGATCGAATTAAGAATAGGAAGGTAAATGCTCTGCTTTGCTTACAAGAATTGTTTGTACTTGTAAATAATACAGAAAGTGTATATTCGTTTCTTTTACACAAAGAAACCTTAATAATATTCCTGTTAGTAATTCCTATTCTTATTTTGATTACGTTATACACAATGATTTCGTTACAGTTTGTACTTACTTACGTTTCACTTGTTTCAGATGAGAGTTGAACAGTTAGCCGTTACGTCGTAGAGAATTTAAATGAAACTTCATAGATGTACCTAACATGGGCGGCGGAAATTCTTTAAAATATACCCATTATACTACGTGTTTATGAGAAGCCTAATATTAAACTGCAACAAAAAAAAAGAAAAATATCGTAGAATTCTCTTAGGCTTAATATTTCGAGCTATATAACCTTAATGTCGATAAGTGCACATGGATTTAGAAGTATAATAGCTTTTCGCTAATTATAAATAGGTCAGGTTTCATATAAATTCGATATCGGTTATCGTTAGGTACCGGTGCAAAAAGTATTACGATATGAGCAGACCCGAAGCTTCGATGGTCTTTGACGTTGCTATTTTTATTAAATGAAATATATTTTTATGATATGACAAAAGTATTACGTTTAGTTTTTTGTCGTAAATACTAACTTATGATCACTATACCGTGGGAAGAGACGCGACGAACGGTATCTAGGAGTTGTCTAGTACAAACATATACCGAGCCAGTTACCATAACGTGTGTGTAAACACCAAAACGCAATCAGTCGCGTTTCTTTCTTATTTACTATAGAATGATAATAACTTCAAGATGCAATATTTCATTATCTTTAAGAATATGCAGTGAGTTATTTGCAGACTAGTATGGGATGCCGCACAAATAAAATAGACATAAATTTGAAAAAAATGACCATAATCGTATTGTCCTGTATTCCGCGTGTGGCAAATGCATACCAGTGTGCATCTTCAGTGTGTAGTTGTAGTTTAAGCTTCTTTAATATATATATTTTTATATATTGTGATAAGCGTTGTTATGCTATTTTGTGAGCATTTATTTATGTTAACGAACTACTTTCGGTATGTTCACAAGGTGTCATGGGTGATAACAGGAGGTCTCGTGGGTGATATACGTTAAGCTTCAGGTTTAGTCGTTGCCGGTCAGCTAAGTCGGTACGTGCGTGTGTGCCTGGGCGACTTGCTGCAACTAGCAAGTTCACTGCCGCTAGGTACAATCTGCGCCAGAAGGATTCGCAATACAAATTAGTGGGCGATTTTTGTATTCTTATTTAGGAATATGAAAATCTCTTTCAACTAAATACATTTTTTGCTCTGGTAACTAAAAACTATAAATTTACACGATATTAATACTTTCTGCAAAACAGTTCTTGCATAATAATTGTAGGTTATCATTCATATCACCTATTGCTTAGCTCCTATTTAACGTTATTGCGCATCACCGTCATATTTGCTTGTGAGCTGTGATGATTTTTGTTTTCTAGCAAATGTATTGTCATATTTGTATTCCTGTTGCGGTTGTAACTTTAGTCATAAGCATTACACAGTACATACGCTTATGAAATGTATTCACACTTGTAATACATCGACACTGTAGTCATAACGATGAAAATTTATTACACAGCAAAGAGTCCATTAAATGAAATATTTTTTTTTTATAGTTATACATTTGCTTTTAAGATGCATCAGCTTCGTAGTAGATCTGTAACTTATATAAGTACTTATGAATTGATCACTTTGGGAGTAGTCCGATGTGGGCTAGATGTAATTAAGACAAGTACTGGAAAGTATATCCATACACTTTTTCTAAGGGGTTATGGAACTATAGCTGAATAGACATCCAGAAAACCAAAGATAAATCACAATTATTAGGTTTATTAGTCGAGATTAAAATATTTACCAACATAATAAAAACAACCCTTAATCACTCAATGGTTCCAAAACTCCTTTGTGTGTTGCAATACATTTATACGTTTAGGTGTAAAGTTGTAGTAAATTATTTCACTTTTAAGTTAGAAACTTGATTTTATTATATTTTATTTATTTTATTTCATAAAACTAAATTATCTCAATTTTTACTTAAGAAGTGTAATGCGCTTTTTTACATACCTCTATTTACATTAATTTTTAATCATGATCAAATGCATATATATATATTTTTTCACTCAAAATTAGAGTTTACAAAGACGCATTCCATGAGGAAAGCAATCGTGTCTTTGTGTTTATTTAAGTTGTTTTGTTAAAATGTAAGTAAATTTGAGGCTATCCTCGGTTTCCACTCGCCTGTTGCATAGATAACTCGAACCGGAGGTACGCATTGCGACCCTTACTCGGTAGTCAAGTGAACCCCAAACCGGCAGGCTTGCCTTTGCACCAAGTGATTTAGTTTGTATTGACATCTTTTGTATGATGTATTTAATATATGGAAAATTCTCAAAAAGAGTGTTTTCTTCATTTTTATTTATTATAAAAATAAAATTATGAATTTAATTTGCTAGATAGTGTTTTTATTTCAAACCATACCTGATTAATACAGGGTTAGTTAAAATAGTTTTATCTGTAAATTTTATTAACAAATGGACTTTTCGTTCGTTAGTCCAATGTTCCAAAATCTGTAACATGGCGTTGTTGCAACAACAACAATATTTCAATTAAGCTTTATATATAATAAAAGGTTTTATTTGATGACGTTACTTAGAAAATGCGTTTTAAATAGTATCATAGTACAATAATCTAAGATGTAGCATAATAATATGTATGATGTACTCTACTATTTTGAAAAGTGCTCCTTAGATTAGACCTTATCAGCATAGGTAACATTGTGAGTATGTATTTACTAGGCACGAAAATTGGGATCACTATTCCTAAACTATTTAATACAAAATAAAAAAACCTTTACTTGTATACATAAAGCTTGACTAAAATGTTCTACATCAATGAATGGGTTGATTCATATACAGTGAAAAAATATTAGAGAAATAATGTCTTTTATTTATAATTTTTGGTACATTATTGGAAGGTTATAATTCTAAATAAACTTGATCTAAGAATAAATAATACATTATGGTACTACAGATCATATTTTAAAATTTTCCTTACTTTCAATTCAATGCAGTATAAGTATTTAAAAATTGGCATGAAATGTATATGTATGTGTATATATATATATATATGTACATACTGTTTGTAATATTGAAATAACCGTTTTTTTTTCTACATGCATATGAATATATTTACGGTACATACACCAAAATATATATTTTTACAATATTTGTCTGATGTAATAAGGAGTAACTTAGGTTACTTTTATTTTTGAAAAATAAAGTTAAATTCTATGCGGACGAAGTCGCGGGAACAGCTAGTATATATATATATATATAAATAACTCTGGTCTGGTCATGTCACAGCGCCCTCTAATCCCGAACTTATCATGTACTAGACAACTGACAGAAATGCTTAATTTCTTAAGACAGGTAAAGTATCCGTCTTATCTTAACCAGCATGCATGAATACAAATAATTATTTTGTTTGGATATTGAATCAACGACCATCGTTCACTCGACCAATTATTCGTAATAACATCCAATAAGCCTGTCAGTTGTTACAGTAATTTCGAATTTGCATTTATATCTTGTATAATAAAATTATAATATTATGACATATATCATTTTACTGCATTGAAGTAAAGACAGCACTGTCCAGGCACACTCGACTTCCTACAGCAGCTTAATGCTTGGGGATATTGTATTTTAAATTTTATTGCCTTATAAATATTGGTAATTAAAAAATACGGAATAGTCTAGACACAAATTATGACCTGATCTTTATCAGTTAAAGTCAAAGAAGTCCATTCTGCCCAGAGAATGTTAATTGTCCAGAAAATATTGATATTCTGTTCTTAATATAAGGCCATCCTGATATGAGAGTAAATTCAAACGTGTTGTACATATATACCTTTATCACTTAATTTGCATAAAACCAATTATTTTCTATAGGGCACAAAATCAATCGGGAAAATTTAATACAAATGTTTCATGTACTTTTTAAACTACATTAGCCGAAGGATGATTGAAAGCTTTTGTACATTTTGACTAAATTTAATTATTTGTTTATTTACTTGATTTAAATTAAAATAGACAGCTATTTCATTGATATTTAATGTATGATGAGAGTGAATCATAGGTCCAACAGATTTCATACACCCACGACATGCTTGTCTCCTCTATTGTTTTAATTGATCACAATATTTTACTTTTATTGACCTATTCCTTATTGTTGAAATGCGGCTGTTTACGTTACAAATACAAATATATTCAATTAAAACTCATATCACAGTTTATGTGAGGCATTAAAATAAACAAAACTAAAGCAGATTCATATGCATAATAATATCTACTTACTGCCTAAATAACAAAATTACAAATACTACTTTTACACAGAGATGTCGTTGTTTATATATTGTACAGATATACGCTTACTCTTAGAAAAACTTACAATAATAATAATATTTATAGTCCACACATATAAATTATGTACTTAAAGATTACATTTAACAATCCATCAAAATATATAATTTATTTTAATTTGATTACAGTAACTATACAAATACTTTATATATTTATAAGATATAACTATGATGTTTCTACATAATTTTTGTTTCAATATTATTGCAATAATTTTGCGGACGTTAATAAAACTAGGCATCACAGTGTATGTTATGACGTTTGTGAGCAGTGCGTATGTACATATACACACACAGCATCACTGCATCGTTTAGTTATTAATTCTAGTTGTATAAAAAGTTATGTACACATCGGAAAAGATAATCATAAAACAAATTCTATTCTACTTCTATTAACAATGTATGTTTGACAAATTGGGACAGATTCAAAGAACGTAAACTACATATGACTACGTAGGTATAACCAGTGGCACTCAATGAGGAAATAGCCATTATTATTGCTAAAAGTTGCATATAGATGGCGTGATTGGTATCGATGGAATTCTTCATAGTTTTGCAAACGTTTTAAAAAACAAAACTGTGTTTTCAAAATAGTTTAATCCATTTTTAAAAAAATATATATACATGTTAAAATGAAATAATGCGTTTAGAAAAGTAATTTTCATATATTTACTCATTTTGTTATTTTCCAGTACTTAATTACACTTTAATCAGTGCTAATACGGGGCTCAATGTTTTCAAAATGCTTTCATAGATGGCATTGTTGTCATTTGTATCGGCCTAATTAAATGTCTTTTTTATATTTTCCAATAATAAGCACTTAATACATTATTATTGTAAATTAAACATATAAAAAAAGTTTATAAATTAAAAATAGCCGAACAAGCAAATAATACTATTTCCAATAATACTTATGTATGAAGTGTTGTCATATTAAAAATAAATACATGTATTATCGATTTTTTTTAATAATCGATAACAGGATTTTATTACAGCGCATTATTCGATGATGCTTTTAATGAGTCGTTGTGAACAGTAAATTTTCATTATTTTGTATTAAGTATAGCAGTATTCCGTTTCAAAGAACGGAATATAGTAGTACATTATTAGTGTCGTTGGTTATTTACATTTGTACTGAAAAATCGATTACATAATAATTTAAAATATCGAGTACGAATCGTAGCTGTCTTCGAATACTGGCAACTGGTAAGATTAAAATAGTTTAAAAAAAAGAGAGAAATCGACCCTAACTCGAATACCATAAAGTTTATTTTCCTTTCTCATTAATATCATAGCAGTTTGTTTTTAACTTGCGTATGACTCTGTGGTATGATGTTTAACGTGTATTGTTATTGTACGGTGCATACATTTCAAAAATTATATTTTAATGTAGGTACAAACATTTCTTTCATACATTTCATACATGTCAAAAATTATCTTTTAATGTAGGTACATACATTTCTTTCATACATTTCATACATGTCAAAAATATCTTTTAATGTAGGTACATACATTTATTTCATACATTTCATACATTTCAAAAATGAACTTTTTATGTAGGTACATACATTGTTTTCATACATCTCATACATTTCAAAAATTATATTTTAATGTACATACATTTCTTTCATACATTTCATACATTTCAAAAATGAACTTTTTATGTAGGTACATACATTTCTTTCATACATTTCATACATTTCAAAAATGAACTTTTTATGTAGGTACATACATTGTTTTCATACATCTCATACATTTCAAAAATTATATTTTAATGTAGGTACATACATTTCTTTCATACATTTCATACATTTCAAAAATGAACTTTTTATGTAGGTACATACATTTCTTTCATACATTTCATACATGTCAAAAATTATCTTTTAATGTAGGTCCTTACATTTCATACATTTCAAAAATTTCATACAATACATTTCTTTCATACATTTCAAAAATTATCTTTTAATGTAGGTGCATACATTTCACACATTTCAAAAATTTCATACAATACGTTTCTTTCATACATTTCAAAAAGTATTTTTTAATGTAGGTACATAACACCCCATGTCAGACCCCTTATATTTGGAAGAAACTTAAAAATAATGCCAAAAATATTAGATGAATATATTTTTAATACGAATATTGTTTTATTTTTGTTCATCAACTTTATCCCTCACTAACCAGACTAGTAGTAGTAGTACATAACCTGGTTTATACCGCTAAAGATATTGAAAGATATACGAGTAATTCAGAATGTTATCAAGTTCAAAATAAGCACACATTACTTGCTTAGATAACAGAGTAATATTACTAGTAATAAAAACATTTGTAATACCCATATGTATACTACGTATGTATAGTAAGTACTTACGCTGCGGCGCCGTGAGACTCGTCTAAGTACTTCATCTACTCATCTACGCGCGGTAACCGCGCCGACCGACCAATAGGATAGCGCCTCTCGTGTTTCCAGAAAGTTCGCTCCTAACGGACGATATAGTAGTAAGGCAATGAGTGTCCCAGTGATATCATTATAATATTTTCTCGTTAAATTTTATTGTAATATACACAATTTCGCACTAAATAACGTGTTACCCCGTTACACATTTCTAATAATGAAAAACCTAGACCGACCCTGTTCACTTAATCTTACAAGATCTGACTTTAAAAATTACGATATCCTCATATAGCCTTTCATTTCCCCTTTCAATACTTTTTCGCATTAAAAAGTAGCCTTTCTCAGGGTCTACATTATCTGTCTACCAAATTTCAATTAAATCAGTTCAGTAGTTTTGGCGTGAAAGCGAGACAAACAGACAGACTGAGTTACTTTAGCATTTATAATATTTGTAAGAATATCGCTATTAAAAATAGGGGTTGGTGAAAGACGGGTGAAAATTTAGGCGTGTATGTATTTTCAATGTAACATTATAAATAAATAAAAAATTGTCCATAATACAAAAAAATATTTATTCGGGGTAGGCCACCCCTATGACTTAGGGGTATAAAAAATAAATAACAACCCTACCTCAGACCTGGGAAGTATACATATCAAATTTCATCAAAATGTGGGAGAAATATGGCAACTAACACTGTGATACAAAATTTATATATAAGATATAGCGGAATTCTTATTAGGTAAAAGAGGGGTACATCGTAGAATACATGAGGTATATACCAGTAAATTAATTGTAGCTAAAATCAGTCTCATACATATAATGATTGAAATAAAAAATCGTATAGCCCGATTTTGATACGTACGAGTATAAATGTATCAAAATCAGGCTATACGTATAGCGCAGACGCGTTACAACATATCAAAAAAAATAGGCATGGAATGTAAAATAAACCATAACACAATAGGTATATACATTGGCACATAAGCCATATCTGCAGAGTGTCGGCTAACGATATTATACCTACACATTTACATTGAATCTTGAATCGTCCCTAATGAGGTACACGATACAGTTACCTACATATCTATTATATACATATCTTTGCAAAACAGATGTCATGTAGACTGAATTCACTGCCATCTATTTTCATGCTTTGTTACTAAGCACCCACTAGTAATCCGAACTGCTTCAGATCTAGCGACATCTAGCGGCTACGGTGGCGAAATAAAATAGCCCGAAGAATAGCCCGAGTTAGGAAGGAACCATTTTCTTGTATGGGATGGGGTATCTGTATGTAATATTATGTTATCTGTGGTATAACGTAAACTATTATATGAAATCGTACTCTACCGATTGATATAAAACTCTTAAGATAATTCTGGGAGCCATTATTTTGCGTTTGCATTGGTATTTTAGTGTAACTGGTCCTTATTTACTCATTTTATACACATTTACAGTACCTACATATTATATTTTTAATGTAACGTAAACAATTTATGTGTGGTGGGACGCCGATAAAGAATAAGTAAGTAGTTCTCCTATTCTTTTTTAGTCTGTAAGCATCCCAATCATGTGTTCTTGATTTATTTGCAAATATATTTGCTTTTACCAGTGAATTATCCCTTTCGCAGCAGGGATGATAGTCACTTATGTTAATTATGTAATAATAACAGAATAATTCTGACGCGGGTTATCATACTCCATCGTAAATGGAATCAATAGACTGCTGACGATTTAGCGTGTGATTGAGTCCATTCTCTCTCGCAGTAGAAGAAGTACTGGGAACATAATAATATGTTATAGTAGAAAATAATGCAACACTTTAATGGGAAAATTAAAAATAATAAAATATGTTTCGACATCCAATATCTAGGCTCAGTGCTAGCTTTAACTCTATTTTAATGATAATAATAATCGATCAGTCCAAAGAATTTTAATAATAAATTATTTGTATAATAACACCATGTTCAGAGCACGAAGAAAACCGATTTTAGTCATTATTAGGGGATATAGAACATCACTAAAGTAAAGTAACTGCCAACAAAAATTGAGATCACTTACGTCAATATTTGCGATGCGTCGTCCTAAACACAAAAACAAATATAGAGTATTGAGTTGAATAGACATACCCGAAAAAGGGCAGTAAAGTGATGAGATGAGCGCGTGTAGTGCAGTGCCGCAGCTCGGGCAACACCAGTACCACGTGCCGCAGATACGCCTGCAGTGACACTCGTCGCTGCTCCACTACCCGGGCATCCTATGCCATGAACAACATGTATGATATATATTATATATATTTCCCACTATAACATTACATAAAGTATTAACAAATTGTCAGCTTTTCCTACTATAGGGCGTAGTGTTAGTCACAATCAAAGCAAGTAAACTGAAATATTAGATCTTTAAAAATAAATATACATTGCATACTATAATTTATATGAATGCATAAATAGGTATTTCCATATTAAAGCAAATTAGTGATCCCTCTGACTGAAACGGCAACAGTTTTTTAAAAGGTTAATTTACAGAAACCGCGATATTTACATTATACATTTAATAATAATAATAATGCATTTGTCAAGGAGTACACACATCAAGCTGTACATTTCTCCTAAAATTAGTACATGTAATTATGTGACTTCCCAGGAAGACTTACTCGTTTTCGTAGAGTTTTCTTTGGCGGAAATTTATAGGTTGCAATATCAGGATGACATTTTTTCAATTGAGTGTGAAGCTCGTGAAATTTTGCGTATCTATGATACACATTCCACTCGTCTTGACCAATCTTTAGGAATATCTAAAATGATAATTTACTATTTATTATTATATACCTACATAATGGTATTATTGTATGAAAAAGAATAAACAACATTTATATAAAAAAATATTTGGTATGTATTGTCAATCTCTTCGTATAGAAAGCTAGCATATTATGCTATACTCTTTTTCAGATAAAATGATAATGGCGATCATAAAGCTATAACGATTTACATTAGGTAGGTACTTAGTTAATGTGACTCTATTATTTCTAGGAATAGAATAAAATTCAACCATGTAATATTAAATTACATTTTTTAAATATTGTAAGTATGTTAAGCATAAAACTAATATTATTACAAACATAATTTGTAGTGTCTTTTGTACTTTATTATATAATTTCGAGTTCTAAGTTCAATTAATTTGTCTATCGAATTAATCAATGACAATATTTATATACCTGATATACATGGTACGAATGGGTCTTTTTTCCAACAAGAAACGCACTGGGAATGTGCACCTTCACATTCGATTCCGGGTAATCTAAAATTTCACAGGACGTGCTCTCGAGTTCTTGTACTCTCCGTTGTAGATACTGATTAAATTCCATGAGTTCAGCGTGCATTTCCGCAACCTGCATAAAAATAAACGGCTGGTAAAAAGTTTTATACCATCTCATTGAACTTCTGGCAATCGATATTTATTATAACTACCGATGACCGTTATTGGTATCTGTTATTTAACTACATTATATCGTTTGTCAAACTGCAACACAGCTTATAGAAAAACTGCTAACCAGTATAAATAGATAAGATTAAGGTTCTTTGAGTAAAAACTATACTTCATTTATATTAACGATTACCAATATGGACTGTAACAATCTACTAGAAATGGATTAGGCTAAAAATGTTTTTAAATTTTTCTATAACGCTAGTAACTAATAATATTATTACTACCTTCTAATATTTTTTAAATATTTAAGTAAAATTTCTAAAAAAGGACATACTTGGACCAATTTTTTCTCATATTGAAAAACTTCTTCATTATCATTTTCACCTGTTTTTAAAGCTTTGCCAAGTTCTACAGCTGACATATAATGGCGCAGTTGATCTTTTAACCTGTCATTTTCTCTAAAAATAATTAAAACAATATTATTAGATATCTATATATATATAGATATATATATAGATTATACCCAATTCATATTTATTCATATGCCTTAGGTAGTTTACATACAATAGATAATGAATTCAAGTCTGCCCTTCACCAAAAAGTCTCTTTATACAATTAATATTTCTGTCTATCTAGACGGAGCAGAAAAAACATCGATATCAAAATAAAAAGTGAGAGAAAAGGCAAACATATTAAATTAAAACTGGTATCTTTTAAAAATAGTATCCATTGGTATAACGTCATGAATAAATGTAAACCTCACTTACTACTTACTTGCTCAAGTCCAAGACGACTTTCTCCAGTTTGTTAATCTTATCTTTACTAGATATTTCTATCTGGCTGCACCTTAATTGCATATTCAAATATTCCTTTTCCTTTCGTTCCAACATAGCATTCAATATTTTATCATCAGGTACACTTTCGTCCTCAGTGAAACAAAGCTCTAAACACGACGTGCTACCATTAATGCTACCTGCCACCTCTTCACTGTCACTTTCAGATATTTTCAAATTATTAATACTCAACTCTGACAGATCATCTTTAATTGCATTATTTGTATCAATACTGTTAGAAGATGTAAATATTTCTTTCGCACATTCTGACAACTTGGAAAGTATTTGTGATGGGCTATCTATACCTTTAACACTGTCTGGAAAAAAGTGTCTTATACTGCTTTTATATTCTGAACTGGTTGGTTCACTACTACATGCTATTTGTGGTATCATTTTGGGATCTGGTGAATTTAAACAAGTGGCTGGAGCACTACTCCAACTTGAATCAAACCCAGGCACTGTGGACTCTAGTGGTTCTTGGATTTCTTTTAAACTATTTTTCTGTTCATTTTTATCGAAAGATATGACTTGTCGTAATGGTTTCTTTTTTAAATTGCTAGATTTAACGGGAGTCGGCAATGGTATAACAAGTTCTGTTTTAATTTGATTGGCTTGCTGTGTGTCGTTTAATTCGGCTCTGTCTATAGATAATGCGAACAAAACTGTGGATAGACCTGTTAACAATAATATTTAATAAATTGGTATTTTTGCCAAAATATCAAAACCATCATATGCAAAGATCTGTTGAAAAACACCACACAATGAAATCTGTCTGGATATCAAATTAATATATTATTTTCACTCAAATAAATATTTAAAATAATAAAATTACCAGCTGCAATTTTAGGAAGTAGACTTGATGACTCCGGGTCTCTAACCAATGCTCCATCTTCGTAATATTCCATGACTAACCCATGAGATATCCAGCTTTGAAGATATCTGTTACCAGAAATGAAGTGTTATACGTATAATAAAATCGTAAACGAGGCCTTGTCTGTGGTCAGATATAAAATATTTTTTGCAAAAGAAGTCTGTATGTACATGTGTACATAAGTTAAGTCATTTAAATTTCAGCCGTTTTAACCCTTTTAATATAGTATTCACTCTATCTATTGCAGCTGTAGTCCCCGAGCCAGAGGCGTTTTTTGCCAATAATTTCCTCCCTGTCAAAGACTTTTAAAGCTTACGGTGTATAAAGTCTATTATTATTTCGATATTAATAGGCAAATTGTCTCTATTATACCTAATACCTTCACCTGACGGGTATCTTGTCGATAACCTCGGTGGGCTAGCGGTTTACCATTTGACTTCAGATGCTCATGGGTTCGATTTCTCACACGGTACAAAATTTGTATTCATGAGTTGTTTGTGCCGGTCTGGGTGTTTTCTATGTATATTATATATGTATTTATAAAAAAGATATCTAAGTAATTAAATCAGTTGTCTCGACGCTGTGTTAATTGTCCAGGCTTATTTAGTTATTTATTTATCTCACCACATTGCAGTCAGCCGACTATTTTTTATCTCCAATATATAAATTCAAATTCAAAGATGGTCACAGGTAAAGGTGACTAATTTATTTATGGCTTGTGGGCCAGAAATTTCTGTAATTTTTAGTATATACATTCCAATCTTAACACAAAATAATAAAATATAACCTATTATTATACCAATTATCACAAGTGCCTATCCACAGCAAGTCTTACACAAAGTAAAATTTTAATATAAAACATTCAATAGAAGCTAATTAAAAAATTTGATTCAGAATTCGATTGATGAAATGCATAATGCACCCGCAACACATAACAATAATTTAGAAATACTACTCACACAACAAGCTTAAATAGATAAACTATTAGAACAAATGTCAACAATGATGAATCTTCTCACAACAGTTATCAACAAACTTGTTAATTGAGATGGCTACTCTGAAATTAGTAACCTGGAACACAAACGGGCTGGTCACGCACAACTCTATTGGAATACGAGAATGTTGATATACTCCTTGTATCTGAAGCACACTTAATACCAAATCACAACCTAAGGTTAAAAAATTATAGCATATATTCGACATCCCACCCCGATGGAACAGCTCATGCGGGCACAGCCATAATTATTAAGAAGCACATCAAGCACGATATCCTTCAGGAGTATAAAACGGAACAAATACAAGCAACTACAATAATGCTACAGGATAAAAGAGGATCTATGGCTATATCAGCTGTATACTGTCCACCAAAACATAAATTAAAAGAAGAAGCATTCACTAACTACTTCAAAACACTTGGAGATAGGTTTTTATGTGGAGGCGAATGGAACGCCAAAGACGTTCACTGGGGATCACGACTGACCGGACCTAGGGGCTGGGAAATGAAAAAAAGTATAGATAAAAATAATCTACATGTACTAAGCACAGGTGAACCCACATACTGGCCAACAGACCCACAAAAAATACCCGATCTTCTGGACTTCTTTGTGTAAAAAGGATTATCAAGCAACTATTTAAAGGTGGAGAGTTGTCTTGACAGTAGCTCAGATCACACGCCTGTAATTGCCACAATAAGTACCACCATTATGAAAGACCAGTTAAGGAGCGCTAACTAACACTAAAAGAACTGATTGGAAGGCATTCAGAGGCTACCTAAACGAAAACCTCGACATGAAAGTACCACTTAAAACGGAAGATGACATAGAGGGTTACGCAATGACATTAACAAACCTAATACAAATAGCAGCATGGAAAAGCACACCAGCTACCACATTAGAACATGGTGGTAAGAATATAACCAGGAATATAAAACCCTGGAAAAAAGACGACTTAGAAGGGTGTGGCATTGTAGTCGACATAGCCAAGACAAAAGAGCGTTTAATAAAGCAGCTGCAGACCTAAAAAAATACCTTAAAAAGATTGAGAAAGAGACCCTACAGCATAAATTGGCTAACCTGAATCCCCAAGGTAAAAACGAATACTCACTCTGGAAAATGGTTAAAAGTAGCAAAATGGCTCCACAAGTTTCACAACACCTGTCTTTACTCCAAATGGCAGTGATTAAGAAGCCGAAAAAAAGATACTTGACTATCTTAAGGCTGACTCCCAATTATCTCTTCCAATTAAAAGCTGCTCCATGAGTCCATGGTTTTACAGAGTCACCTGAATAAGGTACATGAATGGATGGAAAAGTGGCGCATTAAAGTGAGCTCCAGCAAATCAGTACATGTCACCTTTACCCTGAGATGAGACAACTGCCCACCGATTAAACTTGGAGATGACATTTTACCCCATCAAGACTCGGCAATTTATTTGGGCATACATCTTGATAGGAAGCAAACGTGGAAAACACACATAAAAAAAAAACGCGATGAATTGAATGCACGGCTCACAAACCTGAAACCATGGAAAACAAGATACGCATTTATAAAACCATAATAAAGCCAATCTGGACATAAGGCATCATGGGGATCAGCAAAGAATTCCAACATAGAGATTTTGCAACGGTTTCAGAATACCATAACTGCAACCAATCTGTTAATGGCTTGGTAAGCCAATTGCAATAAAAAAAAAAAAAGAATTTGATTAAAACTCTGCAAGGTACAAGAATTTTATGAAAATATGTATATTATATGTTACCTGTTTAGTGATCTTTCATTTAAGGAAGCTCGAAGAAAGGCTCTAAAGTATCCAAGTGGGGTGTTAATGTTATTTAGAATTTTAAATCTTTCTTTTTCATGTTTTGTCAGATGCAGACAGGTGTAGCTCCATAACGAATTTCCTGAAAATGAAAGATACTCATTTTATTAAATTTTATTTTAATGTAGTTTTTGCATTATTTTTTACAGTTTAATAATGTTTTTATAATATATTGATTTCTTTTACATTAGCAGAAAATTAGGCTATAACATTAATCTCAAAGTATATGTAATTACCATTAATAACTAGTGATATTAATTTTCTCTAAAAATAAAAACATAACTCCATATGTCATGTTGTATACTTTAGTGCGGCGTAACTATCTGACTACATACAGTTGTACTCTTATTGCAAGTAGACTTAAAGACTTAGGAAATAGTTTTTTTAGTTAGTTATCCAAATACACATATAGAATATTTTTGTATGCTACTGAATATAAATAACAGTTCATCTAAACTAAAAAAATACAAAAAAAGCTTGTCTAGCAAGCATGCTATGCTTCTGAAAAAATTAAATAAGATGGCACCTCACTGGATATGCCTTATCTCCTACTGTCCATAACACCACAGAATCTGATTATAGCTGGAAGGGCTAATTAAGGCTAGAAAAGAAAAAAAATACTATACAAGGTATAAGTATCATATATTCACTTACCAATATTAACAATATTAAATGTGAAATTTAATCCGGCTGTGACTAAATTTTGAATGGCAGAGTTCGATAAATTAGTTCTTATTCCATGACTAAGCACTCTTTCCCACTTATCACACAGAAGTGATATTCTGTAAAAAGACAATATATTACACTTATTCTTAGTTAATGTCAATTAATTTTGATACAAATAAGATGAATTAATTCACATAATGCTATATGTGAATTAATTCATCTTATATGTATATTGTATTAAGAGGGACTAGCACAATGACAGAAAAAGTAACACTAAGGTTTTCACCTTTATGGATTGAAATATAACAATAATAGAAATTTTAATTTCTCTTTCTGAAATATCAATTATAGAATTAAAATATGTAGCAAATATTGAAAAATTAATTTTACCTTATATCATCTTCAGTAGCTAGTTCTGATTTTCCTCCAAAACGATTTTGTGAATTTTGCACAGAGTTTTGCAATTCTTGAAGATATTGTCTCCCATTTTCAATTCTTTTTTTAACGTCTTCTTTATTGTCAATAGCATTAACTATGGTATTCAAAATTTTACTATTCTAAAATGGATATAGAATGCATAAATAGAATACATGGAATTTAATATAATATTTCAAACACAAAATAAACAAATTCAATTTATACAAATATATATATAGTTATTAAAAACAATGAGTTTTCAGTTAATGTCATTTTAGACATGACACCCATAAACTGGATATATTTCATATAAAGCCTTGTTACCAGTCAACCAACATGGTGCTCATAAAAAAATTACATGTCACTTAGATTTAGAGTATCTATATTTTTTCTGTTTACAGACTTTGTGTTAATTTGATCAACATATTTCTACAATAGAATGTAGACGTGACATTCTGAATTCTTTTATGATTGTGATGATAAACTAGGTGATAGATCATCTGATTGATACTAACAACATTATATACATGAATCATGGTTACATTGTGTTGCTTGTGGTGAGGCTCACATATTACAGTTCATGAAGACTTCACAAGCCATTTAATTCATTCACTATACAGTCTTACAATCATGTTTTAATTAGGCATGTTATTCTAAATTCCAAATGCCATTTATTTAGTCTACTATATTTTTTTCCTTCTTTATTTTCCTAATTCTAAAGTATTGAAATGTATATTTAAAATAGATTAGGTAAATTTAAGTTCAAAACCTATTGTACTGATTTTAGTAACAGATCTTCCCACCAACCCAATGTTATTGACAACAAAGGACACTAGTAAGCCATAAAAAAACCTATTCTTAAAGTTGAATATAATTTTACTTACCATTGTCTTTTGATTTGTGTGCCACCAAGGCATCAATAATATTGATATAGTGTTCAAATTTAAACGACCCAATATTGTACAATATTGTAATTATGTATTAGAATATAATTTCTATAGTAGACATTTTGGAAACAACATACTGCACTAAAACATACTATTCTGCTTAGTAAATTTACACATGTGAAAGTAAAGAAAACGTTATAATAAAAATAGGAATAAATAAATAATATGTATTAAAACAAAATACTTTTTAATTTTCTATAGGTGGAATAGTACGTCAAAGTCACGAAACGTAAATGTCAATTTGCACAAACAGCATAGCTGTATAGACATGGTTCCCTTTTCCTTTCCTTTAAAAGATAAACGGAACCAACAAAATATATACACTCTTTAAGTCAGGAGAAAAAACTGTGGTAGGTAATTATAGGCCTATATCTATCTTACCAGTATTGAGTAAAGTGTTTGAAAAAATTATGCTCAATCAAATGCTGCAACACTTTAAAGTAAATAAACTGCTTCACAGTCGACAATTTGGTTTCACGGCCGGTAAATCAACTACTGATGCCGGTGTAGCTCTCATTAAATATATATTTGATTCTTGGGAGAGGTCTCAGGATGCAGTCGGTGTATTTTGTGATCTTTCAAAAGCATTTGATTGCGTTGAACATGAAACACTTTTGCTCAAACTTGAACATTACGGTATTAGATATGAAGCACAAAGCATGATGAAATCCTATCTAAATAATAGAATGCAAGTTGTCGAAATAAATGGTGTAAAGTCTGAGGGAACTAGTATTAAAATGGGTATTCCTCAGGGCTCTATTTTAGGTCCTTTCTTATTTTTAGTTTACATAAATGATCTTCCTTATATGGTAGAAAAGATAGCTGACATAGTTCTGTTTGCTGATGATACTTAATTAGTATTCAAAGTCAATCGACATATTGATGATTTGGACGAAGTAAACGGTGCTCTTTCTTATGTTTTAAAATGGTTTACGGCTAATAATATGTTACTAAATGCAAATAAAACTAAATGTATCAAATTTACTCTCCCCAATGTAAGGCCGGTAGATTCAAAAATCACGTTGGACAATAAACCTATTAATTTTGTGGATGATACTGTATTTCTAGGTATCACATTAGATTCCAAGTTGCAATGGGGTGCTCATATTACTAAATTAGCGAGTCGACTTAGTTCTGCCGCTTATGCGGTAAGAAGAATTAGACAATTAACAGACGTGGCAACGGCTAAACTTGTGTACTTTAGCTATTTCCATAGCATTATGTCGTATGGTATTTTGTTATGGGGCAAAGCAGCTGATATAAATACAATTTTTATTTTACAAAAGAGGGCCATTCGCTACATTTATAGCATGGGTTCCAGGGAGTCTTTGCGACAGTGCTTTAAGGAATCAAATATCCTCACCGTTGCTTCTCAATATATTTATGAAAATATCATGTATGCCAGGAAGAATATAGACAGTTTTAAAAGAGTTAGTGATTGCACTAATAAAAGCTTACGTAACAATAACAAACTGATTTTACCTAAATGTCGTTTGGCTAAAGTTAGTAATTCGTTTTATGGCAATTGCGTAAGGTTTTACAATAAAATACCAGAGTCTGTTATAAATCTGCCAGAAAAAAGATTTAAATGTCAAATAAAACACTTCCTTTGCAAAAAAGCTTACTATAAAATTGAAGAATTCGTTAACGATAATAATGTTTTTGTAGAAAAATTTTAAATACATAGCACTGACAATATTATCTGATTACACTAATAATGAGTGCGTAGCGATTTCTATGTTGATTGTCGCATGCCTCTTACTTGTTACACTGTAATTATTTATATAAAAAAAACATCTATTAAAAAGAGCAACACACAAGTTTCTTGCTCATTCTTCTTGTGATGAATCTGCATTCCGAATGAGTGGTAGAATCAAAATATGACTATACAAAAGTGCTTGTAATGAGTTTATTTGAATAAAGATTATTTCTATTTCTATTTCTATATTCCATCACAGATTAGATAAAAAAAAAAACCAAGAAATTATACAGTTAAACATACTCAATTTCCACTTTATACCCTATATGTGTCGTATTACAATTTACGTTTATCATCATCATCATCATCATCGCAGCCCGGAAGACGTCCACTGCTGGACATAGGCCTCCCCCAAAGATCTCCACGACGATCGGTCCTGCGCTGCTCGCATCCAATGCCTTCCAGCGATCTTGACCAGATACGTTTATAATGCTGACTAAATTGAATGAAATAGGCGATAAAGAGATGAGCACTTCGACAAAAAGTCTGCTTATAACACACCCGTAAATCAAGAGTGAAATGAACAAACGCGCACATGTATAGTCACAACTTAATACTTATGTTTTATAGATTTCACCTCATTATATTATTTTTCTTACAGCCGTAAATATTTTTTTTGAGCATTGCAGTTGTTAGTATTGATTATTTTATCCAAAAAAATGATTTTAATACAATGTTTTGTAGCATGCTTTTTTAAAAAGTACAACATTCGACCGTTAATGTATGATGCTTTTTTTTGTTGAGAAAACGAACACAATTCTATAAAAGAAAATGGCGTCTTTTCGTGCATGTTTCTGCAAAGTTTAAAATTTTATTAATTTTACTTGTATTCATTTTATCATTTTAATTAATGTGTAATTAGTGATCATTGTGAAAAACCCTATTCCTGTTTTTGTTATTTTAAGTTTCATCTTTTAGCTCCACACGGTATTTGAATCATGAGTAATTACGATGATGATCAAAGTGAGGATGGTGAATTAGCACGCAGCCCTGTTCAGGACGAAATGGATTTCAGGTGAGAGTAAAACTATACGTAATAAAACTATACATAAAAATATAGTGTAATTTTCAAACTATATTTTCCTACTTTACAAGTACATGCTATTATACCTTAGTCCTGAATGAATCAGCAAACATGAATGTTTGTGTAATTGTCTATTTTCATGAACTGAATACTATATTGTCTGTGCATACCCATTAAAGTATACTGACTGGTGTTTTTCTACTATTTGCTTAATGGACATCTTAAACTAAACAATAGGAAAAATGACAAATAAGTTTTCCAAATCCTACAGCAAATTTTAGTTTGATTTTTATAAATGTTTGGTATGTAAGGAAATGTAATGTATGATATTATTAACATACAATTGCTTACTTAATTTAAATAATAATATATATGAATTTTAACTCTGTTAGCTCTATATCTGTGAAGACAGACCAATGTCTGTTTTCACATGTAGTAGTATGGTTGATTTCTGAAGAATATTTCTATATTTATTAAGTATGTTATGTGTCATACAAATATTATAAAATATGTTTCTAGTTTTTTATATATATCTTGACATATTACTTATAAGCTCTGATGAACTGATTCATTATTATTGAACTAAAAATCTTGTATACTTATAATTATCAAAAACATCTGTTTTTTATGTATTGGTAAAATTGCCTATATAAATGAATAGCACCACATATCACATTATTATATAACTCACATGATATACCACTCATGCATTGTCATTCCTGTGGACTACCATAGTCCTCAAGATCTAAGTCTAATCTAAGTAGGCCTCACTCTGTGATTTCATTGCTTTATCTCGGTCAATAGATTCAGCTTAAAAAGCAAGCAAAGGTGTAATAGGTGAAGCTGGATTATACTGGTATGCAATAAGAAAAGGACTTTTTGCAAAGTCTGTCTTAGTAAAAAGTTGAACTATTGATAAAAAGAGGAGTCTAAGAAGTAGATGGATCTATTTATAAAGCTATTAATGGGTTTTATAATCGTATATGTTGTACAGCTTAGGAAATGAGTGAGATTAACTTTTGTTTCTATTCCATATTTATGACTTTAAATCTACATTTGATGCTACTTATATATTGACATAATAACCCCTGTCTCATGTTGCAAGCAGCCGTACGGCAACATGTGTGAGAATGGACCAAGAGTGGTACGTATGTTAATATCACCTCTTAGCAATAAATGGGCATGCTCCTAACATACTTGTACCTTTATCTCTAACATAATGTGTGCACCAGCTCTGGATGCAAGTTAACAATACATCAACTCTGCCATTACAAAGACAACACAAGTGTTATTTGATTTTACAATTTCGCCTTGTATCTTTTAGTGGACTAGTACTATTACTATTAAGGTATTTAATAATCTGGTTACAGTTTGTCGGATGAAGATCGTGATAATGCCGACTCTTTGGTGATCAAGCCACCTCAGGCTGTAATTAACACATCACATAAAAGGGGTCACAAGAGGTCCAACAAAGATAGATACAAGGATGGTGGCAGAAAAGAAAAGAAACATCTTTATAGGTAATATGATTAAATATTTATACATTAAAAATAATAATGTATTAAATATTATTTGTATATCTATTTACTAATTACGCATTGTAATTTAATAATTATTGTAATAAATATTTTATTTTTACTATACTACCCTATTGAGTAGCTATTCTAATAATAGTGATTAGTAATATTGGATTTCTTAAATTGTGTACCATCCATACTACTTTTTACCTATAACAGTTTATTCACTTGTATATTTACTTAAATAAATATAATAATAGTATATTACATATTCACAAACTTACCATCATCAACAGGGAACGTGATAAGGCAGATAAATCTAAAAGGGATTTCACCAAAAATCCAGACCGGGAAGACATGACCAAAGAATATTATAGAGAAAAACAATACTATAAAGAAACTTATCGAGAAAAAGAACCTTATAGAGAGAAGGAAGTCTATAAAGAATCATTTAGAGACAAGGATGTTGCTTACAGGGAAAAAGAAGCTTATAGAGAAAAGGATGTTTATAGGGACAAAGAAATGTACAGGGATAAAGAGACATATAGAGATAAAGAAGCTTATAGAGAAAACAAAGATATTAGAGAGAAGGAATTATATAGGGAGAGGGAAATCAGAGAAAGGGATATGTATAAGGACAAAGATATGTACCGAGAAAAAGACTCTTACAGGGAAAGAGAACATTATAAAGAGACATATAGAGACAATACTTCATTCAGAGAATCAACTAGACCCCGAGAAGCATACAGAGATAAGGAAATATATAAAGATAAAGAAGTTCAACGAGAACGGGATATGTATAGACAGTACAAATATACTGAGGCTGAACGAAAACGTATTGATACTGAAAGAATAGAATCAAGACTGAGGTTATTAGCAGATGAAAATAGTACCAATCAAAATAATGAGAAAGAAAATAGAGACAGATCTTCAGGGGATAAAGAGTTGGAAGATTTGAGATCTAGATTACTTAGTAAAAGGAAATCTAAGGAGTTACAGACCCAAGACACAAAAAAGCAGTCAAGCTTTATGGAAAAAGAAGGAAGATCAGATCGCCACTCATCTTTGGATAAACATCAACAAGAGAGAAGAAAAAGATTAATAGAAGCAGGTGAGTGTAATAATTACTTATTTTGACAATAATATAAATATAATAATTACATGTAGGTAAGTAGGTTTAATATTTTAATAAATATGAACTGACATTTCAGATCGTGAAATGGAGAAAAGGAAGTATGAATCGCGCCATGAACTTGAAGCTAGGCGAGAGGAACGTCGCCGTCGAGGCAAAAAGCGCTCAGTATCACCCAATGATCCATCTACCAAAAAGACGAAAACTAATCATTCTCCTAATTATGGTGATTCAGTTGTAACAGTATCTGATGCTAGTGATGTAGAAATGAAAAGTGAATCTCTACATTCTGAACCAGAGGAAGGTTAGTGAACATTATATATTTTTGTACTTGTTAAATTGGTTTTCATAAATATTTTATTTTAATTTCGTAAGTAATGATACATTTCTCATTTTAGGTGAACATTCCAACACTGAAACAGACAGCTCTAGTACAGACTCAGATTCAGATGCAGATTCCAAGACTGAAGAAGAAGAAGAGAATAAAGAGGAAGAAAAACAAAAGGAAGATGAAAAAGAACAAGTAACTGAAAAATCCAAACCCAAATCAAAATCTCCCACTCCCAAGTCAGAACGGGGTACCCCATCATCCCATGAATCGAGAAGGTAAACTACATTTAGTTATGAAAGCTCTTTACACATTATCAAATCTTTTTGTTTTATGTCTGTTTTCGTAATGGTAGTAATATTGTTATTCTTGTGGACAAATCATTCCACAATGTGATAAATATCTGTGATAAATAACAAACAATTTATCAATCTATTTAAAATAGAATTGCTAAGGCATTCAGTATATTGTGTAATTTAATATTTAAAAAATATGTTTGCAGATCACATTCTAGATCTAAGAGTAGAAGCAGATCACATTCCTTTTCTCCCCCACCTCCTGGAGAGAACGGCAAACCTGCTGCTGAAGAAGAAAAATCTAAAGAGGATGATGAGAAAACAAGGATTAGAGAAGAAGCTATTAATGCTCTGCCTCCTTATTTTCCAGCCTTACAGGTAATAAATAAGTTCTATTTATTCTCCAATTTTGTTAATTCAATACAATTTACAGTTACCTGTCTTTTATTATTTTCCTTAGTTATTATTGTTTTTTTGTTCTATAAATACTGGTGTCCAATGTAATTTTATACTTAATATTAGTGAATCAGACATATAACAGGTAATAATTGTCAATATTATATTAATTGTTGGCCTTGGTTTTTGATGGAGGTAAACCTGCAACTTCGATGATGTTATTCTGACAAGCTTTCCAAATGGCCACATATGCTAAGAGCTGCTGTAGCTCTTTGTTATAATTAAACATGTTGTTAATTAATTTAATTTTATAGGGTTGTCGATCGGTAGAGGAGTTTCAATGTCTCAATAGAATAGAGGAAGGCACATATGGAGTTGTTTACAGAGCCCGCGATAAAACTACCGAGGAAATAGTCGCTTTAAAACGACTAAAAATGGAAAAGGAAAAAGAAGGATTCCCCATCACATCATTGAGAGAAATTAATACATTGCTCAAGGTAGGATCACAATCAAATTTTATTTTCTATAAGCTCACTTGAGCCATCACATTGCATCACCGCTTTGTAATTTAAGGTACACTCGTTTTATATTGTAATGTAATAAAAACAAGAAACGCAGCTCGATTGAGCCGCGAGCCTGTGAAGCACTCGATGGCTCATGTGTTTATTTCATTTAATTAATGCCTTGTATTTTATTCCTACAGGCCCGGCACCTCTTACCTGCAAGAGGGTTGTGCTAGAGGTGTGACCCAATTGCAAGGGTTAACAACTTCGATACACGGGCGGGCCTAAGTATCTTATAAGGAATTTATTCCAGGGGACAATCCCTCCAATGCTTTCTCCTTATCACATGTACGAATGTGATATTTATTTGACATATTTTATTTATCAATCTTCATCAAAGTGAGTTTGAGATGGCGATGCAAACGGTTCGATCTATTATTATGTCCCTAATAATGTACAACTGGCTACAAGAATGACATCTACCATCAGTAAGAGGTAATGTTTCGAGTCATTTTCACTAATGTTATTGAACTTACAAGTTTTTATGAATATACTATAACAAAATACGAGATTTTCACGTATTTAATTTCCTTAATGATACCAAATATCAAGGTATAATAAAAAATATAGAGATAAATTTTGTCCTCACAAGAAAATCTTGTATTAATTGATTTATGGTACAAAATTATAATGTGTATTATTTGGCAATTTTGGTTTTGTGAAAATGGCTCATTCATATTATATAGTTAATGATATTGTAGTAGAAATATTACATAAACTATATAAGTATACATAACGCATGACACAAAGGTTTTGAATTACCTAAATAATGGTACCATATAATATTTAGTGCATGTTAACAACGTTTATTGTACTTAAGTAATATTAGTACCATATTTCTAAAATGAACCTTCAGTATTTATAAAACATTAAGAGTTTACGAAATTATGCTGATTGTCTAAGGTTGTAAAAAAGACATTATACTACATAATTTGAAATTATTTATTATGTTATTATATGGAAAAATAATTGCAAATATACTTAATTGAAATTTTGTTCCTTGACTGTGTGATAGAACAACATAATTTTTTATCTTTTATCTAGTAAAAAGAATAACAAAATTTCATTTAACATTATAATAAAAAATCGACACAAATAATTAATCATATATGGTAAACAAACAACTAAATGGCGCGTTTTGCTTGTTTCTTTAATATTTGCGGCAAACATTGAAAGCTATCGGGTAAAATATTTTTATCAATTTATTCTTCTTATCTGTTTGCGGGACATACTTGCGTAAATTTTTGAATTTTTAACACTCGTTGCGGTCCAGTTATGACTGGAAATTGTGATTTCGTATCTAGATACCGCATTCGGAAACATAGTTCGAAGGTCAAAATTATTATCACTATTTATTTTTATACGATTATACATCCCGTGACATTTACGTATCCAGTCACATTCTATGGTATGCGTGATGCGTACGATATGCGGTATTTTTAATATTATGACACTAGTGACCCGTCCTGGCTTTTTTTAAATCTATACTACCGCCCATGTGACTTTCTGGTAATGTTGATACATGTAAATGATGGATTTTTTAAAATCCGTTAAACGTTTTTGATTTATTTATCAGAAACAAAAAAGATCTTTCCTCTTTGTAATAATTTTTTAGTATAATTGGAATGGCAAACGAACTGAAGGCGAACGGAATCGAAAGGCTGATGGTAAGTGGTAACCATCTCCTATGTACATGAACAGCGCTACTGATTACTGACCACAAGTTATCCATATGACGCCTATGATATCCCACATTTGTTGTCGTTTCTGAGGACTGAGGTGTTATGTCTCTTTATACTGTAATTTCACTGCAATATCTAATCTTTCAACACAAATACAGTTTACAAGCTGCTTGGTGGCTGAAATTGGTGAGACTGAGGTACCCATGCAGACCACTTTTTGTAATATATACTTCGGTAAAGTTTAGATTGATAATGGAATTACTAATACTATAACTTGAAGATAGAAGTAGTAATATCAACATTTTGTAGTTAGTTTTGTTTGTTTGTGTTTAGGTTTGTATATATAGTAATAGTTAGTAAATTTCCAATTGAGCCAGTATATATAATACTTCATTCCATATTTGATTAAGACATAACGCACTATGGACATTCCTGTGACGTCCATCTTACGCGTTACCATTCCTGACTCCCGAGATTTCGAGAAACTTCCCGAAGATGCCTTCGTACCCTGTAATCTCACTGCACCTTTTAATCAAAACACAGCTTACAAAGAAGCTACTTGACGACTAACTTGTCTTCTGATTATCTATAATAAATAGAATAAAGCAAAATTATTTTCATCTATCTCTTTCTCTTCTTTATTTCTAAGCCGATTTCCACAATATCATTTCGAAAATTTATTCTTATACAAACACTCTTGTAAAGCCAAGATGGGTCGCTATTAGATCGTTATCAGGTCGCTGGTAGATTTGATATTTTTAAACGTACTATCATTGAATTTGATGTTAAAACTGTTCTTTTCGGGTTTATTTTACTTTAAATTGAAGAAAAAGACACGAGTCTATATTATTTTATTCATGGTGTGGCATCAGTCCACTTCCACCAACTGTAAATACCCTATATAATGTTACGTAAATTTTAAATATGTATATTTATTTAGAATGATATGTACATTGATCAGTCTGTTTCCCGACTGCACAAAGTTATGCTACATAATGTATGTGGCCGCATTATATTTAAATATTAATGTGTTAAGTTAAAGGATATAAATATATTCTTTTATAACAGCTTCATATCTAATGAGAATACTCCAAGCTCTATCGGAACAGAATGGTTAATGAATTCAAATAACGACAGAAAACATTTCATCCTTCGGCAGTTGGCTGCAAATTTGGCTTTCATCTTACCTTCGATGAACGTTTACTGAAAGAAGAAACAGGTGGCCATTGGTGGGCCAATGTACGAGTGCTTAAACTTGTAAAGGTTAGACCTGACTACGATTACAGTTATTACATACGCGGATGTGAATATGATTGCGCGACGTGAGAGAAATTTCCAGAAGTAGTTAATATCGAATGACATGTTTTGGATATGATTCTATTGAATTTAATAAAATGTCCAGAGATAATAAGGATGAAACAGGAATGCACGATGTGAAATATCATCTAGGTAGAAAAGTGACGATAGATGTGTGAAGTGAGAAAGCAATGCGTTAGTAAATTTTCAAGAGGTCACAAAAAAATGGATAGGAATAGAAAGTGCACAAGTCAGAAGCAAATTAAATTCTATAATATTACAACTATTATACGTGCGTTCAGATTTAAAAAAGTAAATTCCCCTTTATGCATTTAGTCTTGCATTTTGTGCGTATACTATATACATACAAAGTAACAGTTTCTGTTTGTGCAAAATATTTCTTTTATCGTCTGTGTTTTAATCATTTTGAAATATTTTTGTATACTCTTTTCGTTTTTCCGTATTTTTATATGTTTGGTTTGACATTTCGATAGGATATATGGATTTGAAAATAACTTATTAAATTTACTTTTCACACAGTATGTCGGTGTCTGTTCTAGTGATAGATAGATAGATTCTCGCACTTATTACTGATAAATAATGGTTATCAATTTTGAATCGTATTTATTTGATTTCTGCAACATTGCATCAATCTAAATTAGAGTCGGCACTTGCAGTTTTCAATACCAAATTTCATATTAAAACTGCACTAACATGAAGCCAGAAAAATGTTTGTCTCTGTCGCTCTGTCTTCTTTAATAACTTGTTTCCATTTCCATTCCAAAAGATTTGTTTACTGATCTCAAATTAAATATATTGAATATAGCAATAATGCCAATATATAGTTATTTAGCGTTATTAATTCCATTAAGCCATTCAAAAACCATAAGATGTACCTTTTTTTTTGTTACTTAAATTTAGCTATGTTTCCACGTGTACAGTAATTCTTGTGATAGAATAGAATAGGTTTGTGGTTCTAATTCTTTTGCGGGCGCGTCGCATTGCATCCAGTTTTTTTTTTACTAGTAGTTAAGCCTTGTAAAGCTTACTTGGGTCAGTTAAAATTTCCGTTTCAGTATTTTTTATATAGCGCTGATCGCATAATACCATTTTCAAATATTCTTTTCATATCGTTGTTTTAATTTTTGTAATAAGAATAGCAAACTTACTTCTGGTAAGTAATAACCATCGGATGTATACTGGAATAAAGTCGCGGTTATCACGTTATCGTATATTATGTGACACTCGTGATGCAACGTCATGCGTTGGCATTCCGGAATATTAAGATATTGTTCTTCTATATTCTGTAATTTCACTACTTTGTCTCCACGCATCAACCAATACAAACGTCATAAAGCAAGCTGCTTGGCGGCTGAAATAGGTGACACTAAGATATCCAGACATCTTTTTACAAAGTCAATTTTGGTAAAATAAACCTTTGTTTCAATGTCTTTAGCTTTCTGGTCTTTTTAGTTTAGAATTTATCGATTTTATAGTTCTCATTTTTAAGTTGTCTTGTATAATTGATTAGGTCCTAATAATATAACGTGTATATTTTATTTACAGATGATCAATTGGTTTCTGTTTTGTAAACAAACTCAGCGTGTTTATTATGTTTTGGGTATTTTTTCTTTATGACGAGTTATGTCTATCGTTGATTAAATAAAAATAACGGTGTGTTTTTCGTGTATTTGCATGTGTTCAATTCTGCTTAGGTTGGATAGCGTCGGGACTCTAAAAGTAGCTTGTAGAAATACTCCACTCTACCATGGATATATGCTTTTGAAGCGACTACATACTACGTCCATCACTTGCTTGAGCTTAAAATGTTTAGTAATTGGTAAATATGAGCCGTGTATAACACTTCGAGTCACTTCACCACCATTCCCTTCAGCGTGACTACTGTTAAGCTACAATTTACAGGGACATCCAATTACGCAGAAAATAACGCTTATA